TATAGTGTGGTCATCCACATATAAGGATATTTTCTTATATGAGAATAGTGTGGGCTCAATCTATTATAAAGACCCATAATATGTTAGTATGATGCTTTCTTTTGTTCCTGTGCAACGTAAGAAGCATAAAAACACATACGTTAGAGCAAATTGAAAGATAATATTAGTAGTCGATAGGGAGGATGTCTCTATATCAGTAAGATTAATTTGATTTGATTTTGATATACATGTGTAAGGAATTCTTAAGTTGTGATCGAGGAGATTTCAAACATTTAAATTGATAAGAAGATCGAGTTCAGATGTGATGAAAAGAATAGAAAATAAAAATAATTATTGAAGAAGTTTTATTGAAGTACCTCGTATAGTTGAAAAAATCTTATCTTCTATCATGTCTCAGCAATATGATGCTCCTATCAAGGATACCTGATAGGATATCAATCTTGGATCGATGTAAAGAATGGTTTACGAGCAAGAGGCTTCGCTGCTGCTGCGATTGCTGTTGCTGTGAGGGCACAAGCGTTCCTTTCATTCCCCTTAAGTCCGTCCTTCGTTCTCCTTAGGTCCGTCGACTGTTGGCAGATCAACGAAGATTATCACAGTGAGGAAGATGAGGATTGGTCGCAAAGCCTCTTAGGAATTTGGCTCCAGCAGCGTTGATCGCTGGCCAAAGGCACGAGCGAAGCTTTGTTTTTCTTAGCGGCGTTGGTCGCTGGCCGAAGACAAGAGCGAAGCTTCGCTTTTCTCAACGGTGTTGGTCGATAGCCGAAGGCAAGAACGAATAACTACGTAATATAATTAACTATTCCTTACATCGAATAGTTAAAGAAATACAAAAACAGATTTTTTTCTTAATTTATCGACAGTTTACTCAGATAAAATATTATCCTCGAGTAGAATCTAGTGTCTTAAATTTCAAACAAACAAGAATCTCATCCAACATCAGCATCCCCTTCCCATGTCGGAACTCCAAAGTCAACGGAGCTGAAAAGGGCAAGAAAACACACTTGCGTTGCCGACAACCAATTCGAGACCAAAGATGATATCTTCCCCCTTGTTTAGGTAAAAATAAATGTCCTAAGGCTTGGCTCTTCATGATGGACCACGTTTAATGCACACGGAAATCAATAGTACTACTGAAGTAACACAGATAAGAATGACATCGCCATGAAGAAGATGCATGAGATTGATTACTTGGACACTTGGGACCATTAAATTTAAGTTACAGCGGATTACAATGACCACTATCATTACAGCGGAAGCTAAGAGCATTTCTTTTTCCTTTTTCTTTTGCTGTTCAGTCCCCCAAAATGAGAAAAATAAGAGGGGAAGTCCATATAATTTACACAGCAGATCACCGGCCTCATCTCCGTCTTCGCTTCCTCGAAGTCGACGCCGGAGTCTTGGCAGGCGCCGCTGCCGCTGCCTCCGCCTCCTCCCTCTTCCTCTTTGCCGGAGGCGGTGTGACATAAGCCGCCGCCCTCTTCGGCGGCCTCCCCACGCTCCGTTTCCCCGAAACGCCGCTAGCCTCTGCCACCTTCTTCCCCGAGTCGCCGCCCCCTCCAGTCGCCTGACGGGAGCTCTGGTCCTTCCGGGCGTCACCTTTGGCTTCTTTCTTCTGCTCCCTGCCGCCGCCTGCTCCAGACGAGCTCTTTAGCATTTCCATTAGCGTCCCGTTCGAACTCCGTTTCATACGGTTTAAGAAGCTGGTCGCGCTTTGCTTTTTCTTGTCTGGCTTCACCACCTCCTCGACGGCCGCCACGTTGTCCACGGGTTTGGATTTGAGGCCCGGAGTGGGAGCAAGGTTGGACCTTTTGGCTGCCGAACCTCCTTCCCCTTTGCCACCCCGGACTTTGCTGCTCCGCAACCCTCTCGTCGTCCCAGAAAGGACGGTCCTTTCCTTGGCAGTGAGGCTCTTCTCCTCGTTGTCCGACTCCTTTCTCGCAGGATCAGGCTTCTCCTCCTCCTCCTCCTTCTTCGCGGCCGCTACGGCTACCTTGTTCGATATGGAGCTACGCTTGCGGGAAACGATCGGCGGCGGCGAGGAGATCGTCTTGTCGGTCAACGCACCGGCGAGGTCTGGTTCGGGGTTGGGTTTCGGGGCGGCTGGTTTGGGCTGAGGAGGAGGCGGCGGCGTGGGTTCCTTCGGCGTCCGGAAGGTAGCGTCCAACTCCTTGGTCACGAGCCGGCGAAGATGGACGGCAGCGACGGACTCGAGGGAGTCTTTGGGGAAGAAGACGACGGCGTTGCTGCAGAGCAGCAGCAGATCCCGGAAGAACTCTGCGGTCGAATACGAGCGCCCCGGTGCTCTGCGGTCCAGCTTGGCCCGGACCATTTCCAGGTCCACGTGTTGCCGCACGAGGCTGCGGTATCTCACGCTTACCTGGAGACAGGAAAACACAAAAGTCACATAATGCAATAAAAATAGGAAATAATAATACTTGAGTTGATGCTTACGTCAGATTCCGTGAATATATTAAGCATCAAAAGGACGCATTTACTGCTCGCAACGTACATCGAACCACTTAACATCTTAAATGTCGAAGCATTCACCATTTCAAAATCTAAAACATGAATTTGCCACGTCAGCCGTGACGCGACCACAGCGACCAGATCTGAGCAACATTAACTTGCCATTTAGCCGCAATATCTAACGCCTACCAATCTTCGTTTACCAAACTTGGAAGTTGACCAATAGTAAATCATTTATGTAGTTCATCGCGCAAAATAGTAGATCAATCCAAAGGTGACCAATATAAGAAAGTTGACTTGTGTAAGTAGACAGTAATAGTTATTGACTTATAAAAAAATTGATAATATATGGTTAATAATGACGGATGGTTTTAACTACACATATCTATTTGAACGTCTCTAAATATTGTATATATATTTTAATCTATAATTTGTACAAATAGTATTATATTTTAACCTGCTTGTAAACGTTCGTACAGGCGGCTTGATTACTTACCCAAAGGACACGTACGAGGCGGCAAGGCAACGCGATGGACCGCTCCCACAGTCCGATCTAATAATCGATGGATTCCAATCGACGCGCCTTTTCTCCTCGCACTTTGTTCTCCATCACCAATCAAACGGTGGAAAAGCGAAATCATCCAACGGTGGAAAAGCCCCGACAATAAACCTCGACTCGACGCTCGAGTTTTTACGATATTTCTCAATTTCTCACCGCCTTTAATTTCCTAATCGCCCGCGCAAAGGTTGTGTCCAAATATAACTATTTAAGAATGATGAGGATGAGATATGTACGTTATACTCGTAAATAAACGCGAGAAATTGAAGAGATCACAAACCTGGCTCTCGAGCCGGCGCTCGAAGACGGACCCGTATTTGTCCGACCGGAAGATCTGGAGGAGGTCAACCAACGGCTGTGATTCCGCGGCCGCCTCCTCGCCCCCGCCGCTACGGCCAATGAAGGCCGCCTTCCTCCGCCGCCGCGACAGGCTCGCCGAACTCTGCACGTCGCTGCTCTCCTTCTCCCCCCCCTCCCCTTCCTCGCCCCGCTTCGACTCGGCGATGGACTCGCCCGAATCGCCCATCGCCTGCTTCCGGGCCGCCGCGCCAACCGTGGGGCTTCCCGTGCTGCCGTTGTACGATCCCTCGGCCGCCTTCTCGTCGGCAACGGCGGAAGGATCAGTCGCGTCACTGCCGGGCGGGACCGACGCCGACGCCTTCCCCTGCTCTCGGCAGTCCTCTCCGGGAATCTGCTGCGGGTCGTTCGAGTGGGACTGATCGCATGAGGGTACGGAATCACCGCCAGAGGAGATCCGATTTCCGGCGAGGCTCTCCGGCGTGGATCCCAGCGGACCAGCCTCCTTCTTCGTCTCGTGATCCGGCTTCTCCTCGCCGGACTCCGCCTGCCGTAAACTCCGTTCGCGCTCCTCTTGCAGACTTTTTACCTTCAATTGTAAAGATCTAAAAAAATACATATTCAAAACAACTTAAGTAAATCCACGAACCAGCACTTGGACCGTCTGATATTTATCAGACGGCAACGCAAAAAAAAGGAAAGTGAAGGACGCTAAACAAATTACTCCGATCATAAATATGACCGAACCGACTGATTACCCGATGGACATATCGTAACGTTCGACCTCGCGGCGGAGTTCGGTGACGCGGAGCCTGCGGAGCTCCTCCAGCCACGGAACGTCTGCTTTCGAATCGGGATCGGCGTCACCTCCGTCGTCGTCTCCACTGCCGTTAACGACGCCGACGCCGAAACGACGCTGGAGGTCGCGGTATCGCTGACGGCAGCCTTGTGGGGTGACGAGCTGGGAAACGGATGTACGGGACTGGATCTCCATGGCGACGGACTCCCAGCGCCGGGTGCCGTGGCGATTAACGGCGCAGGCGAGGAGGAGCTCCTCCCACGTTCCCCAGATCTCCTTCTCCTCCATATCACCGGATCTTGCCACCACCTACTCCTCCCCGGTCACCGTGCCGCCGTCATCGCGGCCACCACCGCCGCCGCCGTGAATCCTAGGGTTTCACCTCTCGCCGCTCCTCCTCTCCTCTCTCTCTCTCGCCCTCCCTCTATTTTAGTTCTTTCTTCTTTCTTTTATTTACGCTTTCGCCCCCTTTCCTTCTTTTTATGCTTCTCTCTCCTGGGTGGATTATAATGGGATAGATCGATACGCAAACCTTTTATAGCGAGTGGTTTTCAGAACTCCCTTTTTTTATTTGTGGAATGACGGAACTACCCCGCTACTTTGTCGGAATCGCACGTTCCGCGAATTAACACGTCGTGGTGCTGATTTGATTCGGTGATCTCGGGAGCTCGTGACCGTTCGATCCTCAGGGTCTTCTTGTCGAGCGTATATCGGGCTTTTTGGCTGATAAGCTGTTTCCGGTGGGTCACGAAACATCCGCTCCCACCAATACTTGTCCAGCAACAATCCAACTAGTGTTTGGTGGACCCCAACTTGACGCTTCAGACGCCGTAGAGGTGTGACCTGCAGTAGGATTGTCATGTGAAAAATGACATCTCTCGAATGACTTGGCAGTCAAGTAATTAAGTGAGCTAAATTTATAGTTTATATAAGCCATCATAATGATGCATCATTAATTTCATATACTTATTTTGTTTCTTTTTAGCCATCTTATTGACCTGTCTGCTTGCACGCATGGATTAGATTTGACATTATTGTGCTACATTGATACTGGGAATATCGAGTATAAATAGTCGAAATTAAGCGACATGGTATCATCGTTAAATGACTCGAAACTTATTTCGCTACAATATGGAAACATCAACCAAATGAAATTAACGCAGCTGCAACACCTACAGGTGCAAGCTCAAATCTAACATCTCATGGTTTGCCTGCCCCCTATTTTGTGCCTCAGACTTGGGCGCAGCTGATACGGGGTGAGACATGCCACCTAGGAGCTCCAGGGTCTGCAGCTGATGTGTTGGTTCTCCGCGAGCTTCGCCGTAGTGTCGTCGAAGCAGGAAATTGGTGTCAAAAGCTTCACCGGCGTAATGAGGGACGAGAGTTCTATGAATAATTCCCCTTCTTTTCTCGTCATTGTTTTCTCTACAAGACAAAGCATGGCATATCAGCTTGCCACCGCTAATCTCTGCTCTGTCAAATGCAGATGGCTGTGCGTTTCCATTGGGGACCGAGTTTAACTGGGGAAATGGATCCATGAACGAGGGATGCGCGCCATAACCGGCAGCAAACGGGTTCACGAAAGGCTGAGGATCGTAATGAAAGATCATGTTTCTCGTAGCGACTTCCGGCTGCAAAAGCAAGCTCGTACCCATGGGGTTTGGAGCTGTCGCTTCAGCAAAGGTGTTCCTTTCCTTCCCCTCCACATTCATATTTGAAGGACGATGGTTGGTCACCGAGTTAGAGTAATATGAATAAGCAATGCCCTTGCCTTTAGGGTTCATGTCTCCTTCGTGGCTGATGCGTTTGCCATCAACATTCAAAGTTGGTGTCTCAATGGAAATGGCATCAGGTTGTGATAAGTACCTAGGAAGCTGAGGATCACCATGCATGTACCCACCGTTCTTAATGCCGCGCCGCAAGTTCTGTGCAGGCCTACCGTCACCGGACGAAGGATAGGGGAACACTCGTGCAGGTGCAGCGGTTCTCTTGACCAATGTGGATGAGTGATTCCTCCTCGTTCCTTCTTTCTCCATCATGTTGTCAAGGCGCCGATGAGCAGCGAGGTGGCCCCCTAACGCTCGCCCACTGCTAAAACTGGTGGGACACTTTGGGCAAGCATACAGATCCTCCAGTGAAGATCTCCGACGTGCTTCATCCATGGGGATGTCTTGAAGAGGCTTCATCGCAGGGGACAACACAGCCCAAGGAGAACGGAGAGAGAGAGAGAGAGATTGTCTTGAGAGGGTTTTAATGATTAATGGGTGTTTATAGAGGATGGACGGATGGTGGAATCCAGGTCAGATCGATTGTGTTCTACCCTTTTAAGTCACTGAATCTTGTGATCTTGGAAAATATTTGCTCCTAAAACGACTGCGTCATTGTGGACAATCAAAGTTCATGTACGTGAGCTACATAATCATGTACTTCCTTTTAATAGCACAACAACTGGATGAACTGCATTGGGGTAGCAGTGAGAGTAAATAATTATGTTCCATAAATAGCACGAACAATTTCTTTTCTTCGATGGTTCACTGAGATGGGGAAGGCCATTACGACAAGGAATCTATGTAGGATTCAGTGCTCGGCTGAATTTGCAAACCTGGATATGCTTCTTGAAGGATGTACAATTCCAGAGAGCCTCTAAATGGAAACGAGCGTGGTGAGTAGGTGGTGTAGATTCATCAAGGGATGATGGTAGATCGTCACGGAGAATGAATGGACAGTGGGATATACAAAGCAAAATAGCAAAGGTTTAAACCTGAATCCTGCCACCACCCAACTTGTTGGGTTGGGTGAATGTAGATTTCCATTTGACTTGTTCTTGTTCTACTTCGAAATGACACTTCTGTTGACTTTTCCATGGTCACATTTCTTTTTTTTTTCATTAAAATATTAACTTATAGAAAATAAAAGAAAAACCTCATTATCTACTAGAGGAGATCAAAACCTCCGACTCAAGAGGAAATATATTGCATTGAAATGTTATAACATACATTATCATTCGAATGATTCTAAAAACAAAACAATTAACATAATCCTATCATTTCTCTGAAGAGAAAATGAAAGATAATGATTTTAAGGAATATCAAATAGCTTAACTATTTTATCATGATAATACTGTTCCAAATATATTATGATGGTTCAGGAGATTCTTAATTATTTTATTTTGTAATAATATGAAGATTTTTGACATCCAAATCATCTTTGTTTTTGCTACAAATCCTACTTAACCATGTGTAATCTATTTTTACTTTCCCCATTTAATATTTATGATTAATTGAGATATCTTATTAAGTATCGACTCAAAAGTCTGAACAAGATTGCAATAAAAGTTGAAATTGTGCTAGATTAGATTTTTAATCAATTAACCCATTATTTTATAGATTTGAAGCCTAAAAACTCACTTAAAATATTTACATAAATTTTAAAAATAAATTTTATTTTTATTTTAGGTTTGTTACACTAATTTTAAATAAAATTATATTGATTTTTGTAGTGTCTAAGCCCTAGCTACTTTAAACTATAACTAGCATATCATTAGAAGCATAAATAATATGTATCTATTATCCTCACTTAGTGACATGATTTGTGATGTCGATACTTCATAAATATGATAAATGATATATTCATGTTTTTTGATTTTTAAGATTGAAGTATATGCTTTCCAAAAATATTATTCTCGATTTTTTTATGAAATATTACTTGTGAATGTATAAGCATTAATGCCTACTTTTAAGCATAGTGCAATAAGCCAAAATATGCTAGCGGATTTGAATATAAAATTAAGTTATGATAATAAATGTACATATAGTGATTAAAAGTGATAATTGAATTTTAATTGATCCTAAGTGAATTTTAATGCTTGAATGAGTTTAACCATGATTAACATAAGAAAATTTGAGTTTTAAACATTATATACGTGGATGATTATAAGCTATTTAGGTATGAATGAAGTAATAAAAAATTAAATAGAAATGTAAAAAAAAAAAAGAATGAATGATGAGTTTAGAAAAAAAAAGAACATCTTCATCAAACTAAATTAAATTTTATTGAAGTTGTTGCAACATTAGAATTATATTAGTAAAAGAAGAAAAAAAAAAGAAATGAGGCCTAATGGGATTGAACCATAAATTTCAAGATAACCTCTTAAATACCTCAATTTTATTTTGGTCTTAACCTCGTTATTAATCTAATAACTCATAACTCTTTCTCTCATTCTTCATATGCTTTCTTAGTTTTTCTCATAGAGATTAAGAAACTCTAGCTCTAAAGAAGATTAGGATAAGAAAAACTCAATTCTTTCTTTACTATACTTACAATTTTACATATTATAAGTTACTTTTGAGTAACCTAGATTTGGAATTAATATTTAATTTTTGGATATATTTTGTATAATTCTTTTATAGTTCTAAAGCTTTTAGTATCACCTTAATTTAAGATCGATACATAGAGTTATGATTGTCCTAATCTGAGATACTTAGAATCCTTTATTTCGTAAGAATGGATTCTATTCAAGCTAAATTGACTCCCTTAGGCATATGATTAATCTCTATCCTTATGATATATATTAAAAAGTTTCTTAAGAGTTTTATAAAATTTAAAATGAAGTTAATATCATCTCTAAATTTATAAGTTCGGATAGTCTAAGTCCAGTTTTAGCATAAAAGAATTGGCATTGGTAATTGAATTAGAAGGATAGTTTAGTTTCCAAATGATTCTGTTTTAAATTAAAGTTTAATGTATATTTAGTTTTATATATCTTTTTTTAATAAAATTTTATAATATTTTAAGATCATTCGGTCAACTAGAATAATAAAATAAAAAGTTTTCATAAAATTATGCGATAGTTTGATTGATACAAACTAGTTTAATTGTTTATAGAATCAATTATAAGCTAGCCAAATGAAACCATAACACATTAGAAACTATTTAATATATTGTGTTAGTATATAAATAGATATTTATGATAGTTTACAAATAACATCACTGGAATACTAATCGAAACTTGGTTTATTATTTATTTTTATCATTATAATAAAAATACTATAAAAAATATTTAAAAATATTATAAATAATTCAAATGAACTTCTATGCTCAATCAAATCAACTATAAGCCCAAATATATAATATCTTGATCAACTACAAACAATTAAAGAAATTTATTATGATATCACTTATAGTATTTTTTTAAAAAATAATTTTATAATATTTTTAATACCTCAATAAAAATACTATAAAATGATGAAAATTTTGAAAATAGAAACATTTTTTGAAAAAAAGAGAAAGAAATCCTTTTAAGGGAAATCACTCTCTCTTTTGCAACTATCATTTTCTCATTTTCTTCATATATTCCATACGCTACAAATATATATATTTCTCCTCTTCTCTCCCCTCCACTATCGATGATACAGAAACAGGACTTGCTTTCATTGATAGAAGCATGCAGAAGCGTGCGGCCGCTGAGGCAGCTCCATGGCCTCATGGTCGCCACCGCCCTCGTTCACGACGTCGTCCCCCTGAGCCGCCTCATCGACTTCTGCGTCGACTCTCGACACAGGGACATCGCCTACGCCCGCGCCCTCTTCGCCTGGGTTCCCGCGCCCACCGCCTACATGTGGAACTCCATGATACGCGGCCTCTCCGACGGTGACGAGCCAGAGGCTGCTCTCGCCCTGTACGCCGACATGCTTCGTCACGGCCGCTCCCCGGACCACTTCACGTTCCCCTTCGCGCTCAAAGCTTGCTCCCGGATCCCCGACCCCTCGTTCGGCCGGTGCGTCCATGGCCGCGTGGTGAAAGCTGGGTACGAAGCGGATGTGTACGTTTCCAGCACTTTGATCCACATGTACGTCTCCTGCGGCGATATACCGTCGGCGACGTCGTTGTTCCGGAACGCCGTGAATCGGAACATCGTTACCTGGACAACGATGATCGCAGGTTACGCCGAGAACGATCGGGCCGGCGAAGCAATACGCCTGTTCAGCGAGATGGAGCTCGAAGGCGTGGAGCCGAATGAGATTACCATGGTGCATGTCCTGGTGGCGTGTGCTCAGAGCAGGGATCTGGAGACCGGAAGACGGATCCATGCTCGACTCCGTAGGGCGGGAGCGGATTCAATCACATCCAACCTTGTTCTTGCCACGGCCCTTTTGGACATGTACGCACGCTGTGGCAGCTTGAAAACCGCACGCCATCTCTTCGACAAAATGACTGTGAAGAATGAGGTCTCTTGGAATTCGATGATTAACGGATATAACCAGTACGGTCGGCCGAATGAGGTGCTACAACTCTTCAAAGAGATGCGCGACGCCGGCCTGAAACCAGACAAGGTCACCTTGCTGAGCTTGTTGGGTGCTTGTGCTGATATAGGAGCACTGCGTTTAGGCCAGGAGATCCACGCGTGCGTGGAGAAGACGATCGGCAGCGGGGATGTCGCCGTTGGAACTTCCCTCGTGGACATGTATGCCAAGACCGGGGACGCACAAAGCGCGCTTCGAATCTTTGCAAGTCTGGAAGGGAGGAAGGATGTGATGGCATGGACCAGCATGATCCTGGGGCTGGCCACGCACGGTCACGGCAAGGAAGCCATCGACCTGTTCGTAGAAATGACGCAGCACGGCGTTGCTCCCGACGACATTACCTTCGTAGGCGTGCTCACCGCCTGCAGCCATGCAGGAATGGTCGACGAAGGCCGCAAGTACTTGGAGGCCATGGAGAAGCTTTACGGCATGGAGCCGAGGATGGAACACTACGGGTGCGTGGTGGACCTCTTGAGTCGAGCTGGGCGGTTAGCGGAGGCGGAGAGAATAGTTCGGTCGATGCCCATCGAGCCGAGCAACACGATCTGGAGCAGCATGTTAAGCGGGTGTGACATCCATGGCGATGTTGCGCTCGCAGAAAGGATCGGAGATCAGCTGGCCCAATCCAAGCCTCAGGGCAGCGGGACGAGTGTGCTTATCTCGAACATCTACGCAGGTGCCGGAAGGTGGCAAGAGGTGGACAAGGCGAGAAGACTGATGTGGAAGAAAGGGCTGAAGAAGACTCATGGCTGCAGCTCCATTTGATTAAGCTCTTCTTCAATGTCTCTCCATAGGTGTCCATGTAACATCGAAGACTGATACCACACCATGACGGATCGAAAGGTAAAATGTACAGCATGGAGAGGGCGACTTAGCTAAAGCCACCTCTTAAGATGCAGACTACTTGAACAGAGCTCGCTCACTCACCGATCCATCTGCCAAGAACTGATGCAGCAGCCTATGCTTTCTAGGGAGGCGGAACGATGACCCACATCAGCCAACACTAATGGCACGGCGCCGGCATCTGAATCCCGCTGTATCTTGCTTTAACGTTCCAACACTCGGCGGTGGCCGCAGCTCCGCCGGTGTACCTCAGATGCACGTTATGGAGATTGACATTGCGGCACGGCGCACCTCTGCTGCACTTGAGCGTCACCGCCACCGGCGTCGCCGACGTCCCCCTTATGTCCCGAAAGAAGATGTCGCTTATCTTCACCCGAGACGGTGCCTAACAATTAGAAACGTCATCGCAATTGAGATGCTCGATCGCAACGCCGTAAGCAAGATCGTATGATGCACCTGAGATGGGCATAAAACGTAGGGGCAGTACATCTGGTCGATGATGATAGGGTTGGCCACGCCCTTCATGCTTATGTTCTTGAACGTCATGTTCGTAGCGGAGCTGCTTCCCGGAGAGTTCTGCCATGTCTTGATCCTTATCCCGTTTGTCGTCCCAGAAATGGTGCTGTCTCTCACGACCAGCCCTCTGACATCGCCCTCATCGCGGTATCTTCCCAAACTCCCAACACTGAATCATCACCGAGGAAGAAGAAGATTGTGTCGTCAGCGTTACCTATGTATTCGCATAGCTCTGTTTCACGTTGGAGCACTACCTGATTCCATGCCCTGGACCGCAGGTGATTCTGCTGATTCGCACATGCACGTTGCCCTGCCCTATCGAGATGCAGTCATCTCCTGTAGCGATCACCGAGTTACATATGGTGACATCCGAGCTACGTTCTATGTGGATTCCGTCGGTGTTGGGGCTATTGGAAGGTGCATGGATCCTTATATTACTGCCATGGAATCTCTTGCATCCCACGACAGCTACGTGGAAGAACTTGCTGTTCAGGGATTTGACTCTCCTGACGACAGTGTCGGCGGTGGCCAGAAACTTAATCGACTGCAATCAACAAAGACGACCAAGTTTCATCATTTGGTGTATGCCGCATCCGAGTAAGGTCAGGGGCTTACCGTGGGGAGAACTCTGCAGTTCTTCTTCCTAGGGCACTTGTTGAAGGGCCAGGATACAGCTCCTTGACCATCGAAGGTGCCTCCCCCTGTCAAGGTCAACTTATCTACATGTCCAAACTGTATCCAGTCGTCACCTTCGACATACTTGCTCAGGTCGGTGGAGGCCTTCAAGTACCCCTGTTGCAGCACAGCATATCAGATCAACAGGAAGACGGATCTCATTTACTATGCCTGTCATCGGATGCACTTCGACCTGCATGTAAACCGTGATGGAGTGAACATTTCTGCAAGGGCCATCGAACTTGACGGGGCCGACAAGGTACTTCCCTCTGGGTATATGGAGCTTGACGTTACCGCTTGCAGCGCATGCCGCCTTCCACGCTGCCATGAACACCTGAATCGTCACAGAGTCAAGGAGGCAAGGAACAATCGATTGAACACAAGGAAGAAGAAGAAGAAGAAGAGAACGTAAAGCATTTGGTGTGAGACAGAGTGGTTGATGCAGGATCACCCAAGACAAAGTGGTGCGACCTTGCTATCGTCGCTGAATCCGTTGGCTCGGGCACCGTAATGCAACACATTGAAGGTGCCGGAGCTCACTCCACTCCTGCACTGGGCATCGGCGATGGAGTAACAACAGATGAAGGGTAGCAAAAGAAAAAGCTTCATCTCTTGCTAATCCAGATTTCTTCTCTGTCCTCTGTTTTGGAGTGGTTTTGTGTGCATTCATCCATAAAAATAGAGGAAAATGCGTATATAACTGAGATATGAACTTAAATTGAAGGAATGAGGCTGATGGAGTTGCTTAAACGGCCGCAATACCCTCTCCTCCCCATCCCCACCTTCTTCGGTTTCCAACCGCTAGTTGGAGTTTCGATCCCGTTTGTAACGCATGGCTTCCTCCATCCCACGTCAAGAGAGAGAGAGAGAGAGAGAGATCAACTGTTTCAAGCATTAATGGGAGAATTAGTGTAGCAAGATCTTTATATCTTGAGCAGAGCAGCATCACTCCCAACGTTACTACGCTTGGGACTTTTCTCTTTAAGGGAGATGCTCTGTTTCTATGTGGTTGGCGCTACCTTTCATGATGGGAAACTCGCTAATGACTTCTCTTACGCTGCTGCATGCATTTTAGGTGTATAAAACCCATATTATTCTAACATTGGGTGAGTGTATTCTAACATTGGCGAACTGCTCAAAATATGTGGAGTCTTTTTTTTCTCAACTATGTCATATTTATAATTTATAAAGTTAGAACATACCGATATGTAATCATACAGATATTAGGTGTCATATTCGAGTCTATATCTCCGACTTACGTGTCTCTGACACATTTTGTCCCGAGTTTTTATCGTGATAGATTTTTTTTCACACGAATTGAGTTTTTCCAACTCACATACCTTGGACATGTTTTGTCTTATAAATATGCCGTGGTGGGTTTCTTCTCACACGAGTCGGATTTTTTCGACTATCGCACCTCGGGCATATTTTACCCTACGCCTTCATCATAACGGATTTTTTCTCATGTGGGTTTTTGTGACTCACATGCCTCGGACGTATTTTGCCTTACACCTTTATCGTGACAAATTTTTCCTTACATAGGATGGATTTTCTCGACTTATGCACCTAAAGCACATTTTTCTCTATGCCTCCACCATAACGGATTTCTCGTCACGTGAGTCGGGTTTTCCTAACTCACACACCACAAACACATTTTGCCCTATGCCTCCGTCGTGACGGATTTTTTCTAATGTGGGTTGAGTTTTTATGACTTACACGTCTCAAGCATATTTTGTCCTATGCTTTTGCCGTGACGAATTTCTCACACAGGTTATAGGTTTTTCTGACTTACGTGTCTCGGACATATTTTGCCATACGCCTCTATCATGACAGATTTCTCCTTAGTAGGTCAGATTTTTCCGACTTACGTGTCATAGGCACATTTTGCCCTATGCCTCCATTATAGCAGATTTCTTCTTATACAGGTTGGGATTTTTTGACTCATATGTCTCAAGCACATTTTGTCATACTCCTCCATTGTGATAGTTTTTTTCTTACATGGGTTATGTTTTTTTGACTCACATGCCTCAAACACATTTTACTTAGTACCTCCATCATAGTGGATTTCTACTCACACGAGTCGGGTTTTTCCAACCCATATGTCTCGGGCACATTTTTTCCTTGTGTCCTTGCCATGACATATTTCTACTCACACGAGTTGATTTTTTCTAACTCATGCGCCTCAAGCACATTTTGCCCTACTCCTTCATCATGGCATATTTCTTCTCACACGAGTCAGGTTTTTCCAACTTATGGTGGATTTCACACGTGGGTCGGTTTTTCTTAACTTGCACATTGGTCATGATGAATTTCTTCTTACGCGGGTCGTTTTACCTTATACCTCCAAAGTGGTAGGTTTTTACTCATGCGAGTCAGATTTTCTCGACTTACGTGTCTCGAGCATATTTTGCCTTGTACCTTCGTCGTAACAAATTTCTTCTTACATGGGTTGGATTTTTTTGACTCACACACCTCATGCGTATTTTGCCTCATGCCTCCATCGTGATGGATTTCTCCTCATGTGGGACGATTTTTCTTGACTTACATGCCTTGGGCACATTTTAGCCTATGCCTCCGTCGTGACGAATTTCTCCTCATACGAGTCCAATTTTTCCAACTCACATGCACCAAACATATTTTGTTATGCGCTTCCATTGTAGTGAATTTCTTCTCATGCGCCATAGTGGATTTCTCCTTATACGAGTCAGATTTTTTCAACTTATGCGTCTCAGGCATATTTTGCTAGTCATAGGTGCATGCAAGCCAATCATATGAGTGATGACACGTGTGACATGATACACATTCTTTTTGCTTATTATATTTTGATATTTTATCACTTTATATTGTTTGTTGCATATATGTATATATATTGTTATGTTTATTGATCTGTGTAATGGGAATCAGATCGTGATAAGATCATGATAATAAGATCGATTCACCTTTAAACATAGACCCTAAATAATCCTGGTCATAGGTTACTCGAAAGGGATATCGAGATAACCAGACAGACTGGTGTGCTGTATACCTGTCCATATGATGGAGACAGTTGGCCTCATAGTTGCTCGTGTGGGGACACTAGGGCTACAATGTATGTATTCATTGGAGAATGCTGGATGGTTAATGATACCTCATTGTCATACAGTGATTCTGTTGTCTTAGTTATGTACTTAGTCCTTAGACTTGAGACACCAAGAATGTCCTGTATGAGTATTACACTCTTTAATACCAGATTTATAGGTCTGAAAGTTTCAGATTTAGCATAGTCGGTAATCAACAGTGATAGCCAACCTTACAATGACTATTGAGTGTCGATAGAGGATCATCTACTCTCGGTGTCATGAGAGGAATATCCCATGTGTTCTTGCTTAGATAAATCTCTAGCCAAGGTCATTCAGATTGAGAGAAAAAGAGTTCTTCGAGAGAATCAGATTAGAGCGAGACATGAGTAAAAACTGTATAGGTCTGACAGCACCGTGCCCGGTATACGATCTCTAGGAAATTAGATGGATGATGGACTATAGGTATACGATCCCGACTTACGTGCATCAGGCACATTTTGCCTTGTGCCTTCATCGTGATGGATTTTTCATGCGGGTCGGGTTTTCTCGACTCATGTGCCTCAGGCACATTTCATCATACATCTCCGTTGTGGCAAATTTCTCCTTTAACGAGTTAGGTTTTCCTAACTTATATGCCTCAGGCACATTTTACCCTACTCCATCGTGACAGATTTCTTCTCATGCAAATTAGGATTTTTCAACTCATACACCTCGGCCACATTTTGCCCTATTTTGTCATGATGGATTTTTTCTCATATGGGTTGAGTTTTCTCGACTCATGTGCCTCGAGCACGTTTTACTTGGTGCCTCCGTCATGGTGGATTTTTGCTCACGCTGGTCGGGTTTTCCCAACTCATATGTCTTGAGCATATTTTATCTTATGTCTCTACCGTAGCAAATTTCTGCTTATGCGGGTCAATTTTCCCAACTCACGTGCCTTAGGCAAATTTTGCCCTACGCCTTCATCACAACGGTTTTTTCTCATGCGAGTCAAGTTTTCCTGACTTATGTGCCTCGAGCATATTTTGTCTTACGCCTCCACCATGGTAAAGTTCTCACACGGGTTGAGTTTTTTTTACTCACGTCTCGACTATGGTATATTTCTTCTCACATGGGTCGTTTTGCCTTGTGCCTCCATAGTTGTGGGTTTCTCCTCACGCAGGTTGGATTTTTTCGAGTCACACATCTCGAGCATATTTTTCCCTATGCCATCGCTATGGTAGATTTTTTCTCATACGGGTTAGGTTTTCTTAACTCACGTGCCTTGGAAGCATTTTACCTTGTGCCTCCATCATGGTAGATTTTTTCTCACGTGGGTCGAGTTTTCCCAACTTAAGCGGCTCGGGCATATTTTTCCCTATGCCTCCGGTGTGGTGGATTTCTCCTCACATGAGTCAGGTTTTCCCAACTCAAGCGCCTCAGGTACATTTTACCTTGTGCCTCCACTGTGGAGGATTTTTTCTCATGTAAGTTGGGTTTTTCTTGACTCATGTGCCTCAAATATATTTTGTCCTGTGCTTCCGCTATGTAGGATTTTTTTTCGTGCAAGTCGGGTTTTCTCAACTCACGCACCTCAGACATATTTAGCCCTATGCTTCTGTCATGGTAGATTTCTTTACACATGGTTCAGGTTTTCTCAACTCACGCACCTCGGGCACATTTTATCTTATGCCTCTACCATGATGAATTTCTATGCACGTGGGTTGGATTTTCCTAGCTTATGCACCTTAAGCACATTTTGCCCTATGCCTCTATCATGATGGATTTATATGCACATGACTCCATGTGAGTCGCAAAAAACTTTAATTTTAGTCATATTCGGGGGGATAGCTTAGACCTTGGACGAGACAACTCTAGTCGTTCATTTCTCCTTCATTACGGTGACCTCGGGTTGGGGTGGATTGTAGTCGCTCTTATCTCGACCTTTTGTGACTCCTCATATTTACCCAAGACCATTGCCTCGGTGATAGTATATTGATTGACCCTCTAAAGTATTTTTGATATCATCATTGGAGGCCTCTTTACCAATGACCAAAATATGTGAAAAGGCCTGAGTCCCATCATAAAGGCTCGTATTGCGAGTGACGGATGAGCATCTTCCATGCCTTAAATTGTGTTAGTGAACCGAGTGACGAAGTCTGAGAGCATTTTCTCCTCTCCCCGCCTAAGTCCAAGAAGTGTTAATGCCAATGGCCTTGGATGCACATTCCTAAGGAAGTAAAGCTTAAATTCCCTTGTGAGCGAAGCAAAAGAACTAATAGAGAGCAGCTTCAAACGTGCATACAATTCTTATGTCAGACCTCTTAACGTGGTCGAGAAGGTACAACACACTAGGGCATCTAAAGTGTTGTATAACAACATTTGGGCATGGAAAGCGATGATGTGCTCTATCGAGTCAGTGCTGCCATCGAATGTCTCCAACGATGAGAGGCGAAAATTCGTTGAGATTGGTTTCTCCTGAATTTCTAGGTGAATGGGGATCGACTCGAAGTGGGATCAATCAGTGCTTCTCCTTTGGATTGTTGAAACTCTTGTCACATCTCCTTCAAGTGTCGGTCCATCTGTCATAATTAGATCCATAAGGAATCCTCCGTTGAATCTGCTAATTGGGTCTTGGAATTAAGCAGGGTGGAATGGTAGTGTGGTCCATTAAATTCTACAATCGGGGAGCAAAGTGCCCCCTCGACCGACAATTCAACGAGCCTCAAGTGATCTTGAGATGTCGGCACCATGTCTGGTGGGGGAACCTCGATGGGTGCTGGTGCTGATGGCGATTGAGCTAGCGCCATCATTTGTTAGGCTAGCTAAGGCAAAAGTAGAGCGATAGCTTGTATCATGCCCGTTAGCGTTTGCACTTGTTAGGTGAGGTTCAAGAACACTTCAATAGGGACAAGCAAGTGGCTCAGGATTGTTCCCAAGGGTGAGAGGCCCAGGTTATTGAATAGACACTTGTATCGCATCAGCATTTGTGCCGAGGTGGATGTATCCACATGCAAAAATGATGGCTGTAGCCCCGTCTACGTGAAAGTACTATGGGTCGGGGGCAGAGCCTCCTCGCTCAAGTGTTTGTTGAGAGGGTTAGAGGATGAGCATTTCTACGATATCGGACCCTCATTCTAGTATTAAAATAATGAGAAAAAATGTTATTGACGTCTAAATTAACCTGATGTGGTCTGGAATTATATACTAAGTATTATCCGAGGTGAGAACATCGAGCTCCCGATATACCTCCTACGTAAAGATCGAGATCGAAAGAGGTTTTCCAACCTAGTTCCTCTGAAACTCAAGTTAATAACTCAAGATAAATGTGAATGCGAATAATAAAAAAAATTACTTATTATCGTATTAAAGACGAACTTTTATATCTAGTTACAAAATGAGAGAATATTTTATGAAATATTCTTTAAAAAAAATAACCTCTAACCACCCCTAACGATCACTCTTGGCCTCTTGTCGAGGACAAGGGGAGGGGGATAACCCTGGTTTATCCACGCGAACAGACATATGAAAGGTAACCTAGACTTCAGGTGACAATTACATATGGATAATAGTGTATTCCCTGTTACATAACAAAGCTAAGAAGCTAAGTTAGATCGATCACCTTAAACCTACCGCAAGCCTCAGTCTCAAGATGTAATCGATAAGACTACTATGCTACAAAATCTTAGAAGTAGATTTTTTTTGTAAATCTAAAAAACATTGTTACGCTGAAAACTACCAAATCACTTGGCCTTGGAAACTCTGTTGAGGCCAGGCTAAGCACCCACCATTGCACAATCAAAATATAATGAGATTTTAATGAAACATGTTACTCTTGCATCGTTGCTTCTATTACAGCATTTGATAATTCTAGAGGCAATCCAAGCACTTTTCAGCATGATAATTCTCAGGTTACTAATAATGTTTCTTTCAGCAAACTAACGCAAGTAAATGATCAACAATAGCCGATTCAAACAACCAGAAACTAGATTTTTGGGCAATTAGCTGAAGAAGATTTCTCATTGCACGCGACGAAACATAACACAAGTTAGTTTGGAAGGAATGCTGGATGAGAAGACAAGCGGAAAGATCATATTATGATACTGAAGAGAACAAAAAGAACAGAACTGAAAGAAGAGCGGAATGTGGGCTTGGAGTGTGAACTCTTATTAGGGTCATTCTGAAAAGACTGGCAAAAGCTTAGCACAAGCATCTCAATGACCTAATAGGGCTGCCATCAGAGTTAGAGTCAGCAAAGCTGGTGCACAAGAATTTAGACCTGCAGGGCATCCGCTATGGAGCCAGCAAGGCTAAGCACCTCGAAAGGAGCCTCATTAGCAATGGCCTTCACGGTAAGCGGACACGAGTCAGTTATCCAAAAGTTTGCAAATCGATGATCGGATCTCTCTGAGGAAAATGGTGTATGATTAGTGCCTGAAAATGTTTGGAAGAAAGGAACCAATAACTAAAATGAGTTTATACCAGCCTTGATATGCACAAATCGCTCCCATGATCTCTTGGGGAACACACCATGTGTAACGTAAGCACTAACTTTTCCAGCACCATGAGCAGTCAAAACCTTCTGTAGATCAGAATTAACAAACGGAACTAGTAAGTCCATGCAAGCAGGTCAAATGGAGATAGAATCAGTTCTTTGAGAGAAATAAGCTCACTTGGCTAATCAGATGTAAACAAAACTAACATTTAAATGAACATAGCATGTGTCTATATGATATATTCACGTGGGACAAATTACAGAGAAAACTATTTCGAGGGAAATCGAGAAGCATGAAATTAACAGGATTGACAATTGTGCTTAAGCTGGTGGCTAAAAGATTCCTGATGTTAACTTTTCAAAGAATAAGTACGATATGAGAGTACATACTACATAACCATAATGTACAAAACATGAGTTGATGAAAGATTTCATGATCCTTGCTCTTCTTTTGTCTTAGGTTCTAAGAAAGTTACAGTATAACACTAGTTTAGTTAGTCAAAGATAGTTTAGTTCTTATGTTGCATGGGTAAAGAGCTATAGATTAGCTGACATTCAAAAGCCATCTGCCTTATGGGGCTGTTAAATGGGTCACATCTCCCCCACATACATGGTTTAGGAATGTATGATAGAACTGAAAGGAATGATTCATGAATGACCTTTTCATCTCTGCTGCTCGAGGTTTGTCAAGAACTTGACTTTCTTTATGAATCAGACATCATTGTCAGTTCCAATTCTCTAATGATCCCTAATGAGCTTCCATCCCTAATGGTTCATGCTTCTTTAATGATCTTTTCTATGGTTATGCCAGTGATGATAAGTGGATCTGGTAATTGGGCTGTTCCCATTCTGATAGGTGAACCTGACATGGTATTTCCGTGACAAAATATCTCATTCTGGTTGTTGCCACCAAGTCTCTTGCTCCTATTAAGCTCAGCCATTTCATTGGAATTATATGCTGCTTCCTTGGGCCTCTTTGGCAACCGTGAAGTGACTGGATGAATTGCCAAATCTCATATTCAAAAGATGCTACTAGTTTCTGAAGTCAAGTTGAGCACCCAGACAAGATGCTGCCTGCTTGAATGACAAGATCTGATGTTAAAGAGGGAACCCCTTTCATACAGTTCTAAACAATCAATGACCAAAGAAAAAGAAGATGTGCAGAAAAAAGCTTATGGCTAGAGTGCCTATAGCATGGATACAGATCCTTTTGTAAGAATAAGTTGAATTCCTTATTGCCCAGTCCCAGTGAAGGTATCTGAAAACTCTACGGACTTGATCATACAATAGAATTCAGTTTGCTAAACCCGAAACCCATTGACAAAGAAGAGTAAGACTAAACCACTCAAACCCCCAAGCAGGGTCATTTCATAATTCCTGACTAGCTCAGTTCTCGTTAGAATGGCTCTCTTAGTTATGCTGCACCCCGACCCAGGACCATGCGTAGCTTTTATATGCCTGCAACCTGTTTTCTTTACCAACACAACATTAGGGGATTATTTTCCGTCTAAAGAAAACTAAAATTAAAAAGGCTTCACCAGTACCTAAAACTGATTGACTGAATGCTCACTAAATGACAGCTAAGGCTATGCCTAAAAGTAAGCCCATTTTCTTGGCGAGTGGGAACTCGCCAGAAAGAGGGGAGGAAAGTCAGGTTACATGACCTTCTCCATCATACCTTTTAGCACTCCCTGATAAAAATGGATTTGAAGGACTGACCAGAGGCTTGATAGTCTATCAGGTGATTAATTGGATTCTTCCAAACTGATAGATAAAAGGAGAGAATTCAATCTAACCTCGAGGATAGAAGCAGGCATCATATGAAGTGAAAGTCTTTCAGGTACAGATAAGCCCCCTATATGATTCTGGATTACTAAGACATGAGAATGATCAGAGTTCACTCGATAAAGATGATACAATATACCCTTGCTTCCTGAAACTTGTACGTTTCTTAAAGTTATTTGATAATCATGTTGGGAGGAATAAAACTAGACAACGTAACCAAGAAAAATGAGATGATCAATGGAACTTTTCCGATAGATATTCCTTTGTCGCTCTCTTAGCAATCTGGCAGAAGAAGACTGCTTATCTAAGTGATCGTGACATTTTTACAATAGTTGAACATTGAAATGAGATATTCTAACAAGACAATACCAGGATGTTTTGGATAGTGTACTCCTCTTTAATCCTCTCATGAAAAAGGGAAGCTTCTGGAGCATTTTACCTGTTACACTCCATCACTTCCCAGATTGAATAGCGTTTGTCAGATATATAACGGCAATATACTAGCAATTGTCAGATATACCAAGGCAGATAGAAGAAATGACTCTTAAAAATGAAATAGGAAGCAAGTTAGTTATTCATCCGTACTGGAACCGCATAAAATTACACTGGCACTACTAAACCAGTGCAAGATACATAAAAGTGTCAAGCAATTTATTGCCTCGTATATCATCTGAAGGGGTAATTTGTATGCAAATTCCAGTGCACCACTACTATAGTTACACTATTCAGCTCCTTGGTAAAACTAAAAGCTAATAATATATAGTTCAAGGATTCATTTTGTGGTGCTAATAAGCTACAAAATTCTCATTACCAGATACATAGGCAAGAAGAAAGTATACAAAACCATGCTCTACAAAAGTCTAATTTATGACTTGCATCACTGTTGTTTACCTGGCATTCAATTAGAGTGCCACCAGATTGCACCAAATCATCAACAATAACAACATGTCGACCTGCAGGATTACCTTCCTTAATTTGAACTATTCTCTTGTCACCTTCACGAACCTTCGCACAAACAATCTGTTATACAGCAAATCAAACTTTCAGTCAGAAAACAGATGAAAACTATGACTTGTATATTCACTGTTTCTGTCCAACAATCTACCATGGGAAAATGCATCAATTGCTTGTGAAATCGCTTCCAGGCCCCATCATCCGGGAATGCTATAGTTACCTATTTGGATGAGACTTACATAGGAGTCAGTGGACCAAGTCCAGGTAAATAACAGCAGATTTGCTACAACATATGCCTTGAATCTTAAAAAGGGTTGTATGGGCACAAATAGTGCATACATTATCAGCATCAGGAAGTTTGCGAAGGCGCTGCAACAATAGTGGAATACCAGTTTCAAAGCAAGGCAAGACATCATCCCCAAAGTAAAATCTTTCCTGAGGAAATCAAGAAAAAGATATGACACATTGCTTCAACCAACTACAAGGTTGACATAAGAAAAGCTCAGACATATTATGAGTGTTGATTGGTAGACAATTTTATAGAAATGTCTTGGCACCATTAAAGGATCAAACTATCAACATATGGATCAAAGCATACAAGAAAAATCTGCATCAATCAAGTGGTTACAGATATAATTAGGCACCAAACAGATGTGGTTTTTGTATTTTCATAAAGGGTTAGGATTTTTTATTGAATTTTACATTCTCTTGATCAATAATTTTTATGCAGAAAAAACATTGAGTAATATAGTCAAATTCAGAGCCAATTTGTTAGAAACTTGGAATTGGTAGTAAAATCAGTACTGCTTATAGCCTAATGTTTCCAACATGATGGTTCAGATGTTCCAATAAGTGAAATTAAAGTTAGAAAACATATGATAGAACAGCAGTATCACACAGATAACTTTATGTTGCTAAAAGATGAATTCTATTTCAGAAACAAGAAGTCCTGACCCATCAGAATAGCAGAGAAAGAACAAAGAGCCAGTACATGGGAAAAATAGCAAGTTTGTTGAGAAAAGGGCTTAAGACAGGATTATTACTAACAACTTAAAAGAGTCTTACTTCAGATATGCCCATGCCTCAGAGTCCTTAAAATTTTAAAAACATCTGATCATGCATGTCATTCATCAGAAAGCATGAAACTCAGGCTAGATATTTCGTCTTGATGTTGTGTGTTTCAATGCTTAAGAATCTGAAACATTACAAAAATTTGATCATAACAGAACACAACATTCTAACATGAAACTTCAAGCCAGTGCAGCTCATCAACCCTTGACATTCCTTTCAAGGAGGGAAACTATAGCATACTCCAAAGAAGGTCTATGCAAACAATGATAATGAACTAGTGAAAAATTAATGCCCACGACAAAACAATAGAGCAACCACTTCACGTTTGAATAAATGTTATGTGCTACTCATGAAAGACAGGACAAATAACAAGATCATCAATGCAGATTAATAAAAATAATAGATATTCAAGAAAAGAAGACCAAATCTTTGATATAACTTCAACAAACCTGCAAAGCATGTATATCATATATCACAATACTAGTTGGTCCACCTCTAGACTTTGGAATCATTGACAATATCCGTGCCATCGTAAATGCAGTAGCAACATCTCCTTCTTCTTCCATTCGTTCAAACGAGCCGGTTGGGAAGAATGGTAATACCAAGGTGAAAGAAGCAATAAAGAGTTTTGGTAAGGCAAAAATTGCAGATATCTGCTCAAAAATGACTCCTGGTGAGCTGAAAGAGGCTAGAAATGCAACATGTTGTCCTCTAATATCATGTGCATTGTTGATGAAAAGGTTAGGGAATCCATCATCAAAGTTTCTGATAACATCATAAAAAATGCAGCAATTATTGACCGAGTTAAAAATTCAGTTTGGCAAGATAAACTTGAATTGACTACTTATCAATAAAATAAAGAAAAACTATCAAGTAAAGAGTTCTTATTTTTTCCTGAAGCTAAAGATGATGACTATACACCAACTTCTTACGAGAAGAACTTGATAAATGCCCTCTTCATATGATAAATCCTAGTGCATGATGATGTTTTTCAATAATTTTCGAAAAATAGAAAAATAGCTTTGTTAAAGCAAGTACAACATGCTTCATTTATCAGAAAGAAGATACTGTATGAGTGATTATTTCTCTTGATTTTGTAAAAGGTAAAAGATCACAAACATTATAGTAATCAGCACCTTCAGTCAAACAAATCACTTTGTAATGCTAGCTATGATTTTGACCAATACTACACGGTCTATATCTCAATAATACCTAGAATAAACAGCAGTCCTATGAAGTTGTAATCTTCAAGAAGAGACTTTTGTCATTACTAATCATCTCTTATTTTCCTAGTGAAGTTTTTCAATACATTTACCCAAGAAGAGAAGCTTAATAGGCTGGCATTTACAAGGATTATTATAATATATCCATGATTTTTCATGTGGGACACAACATTAAAAATTTTAGGGTTAAGTTAACCACCTGGTGATAGTACCATAAAAGAAGTGAAAAAACTGCATTGTTAACCCATTTGCATGTAGACACCCGATTAAGATTCATTACTTTCTATATAGCAAATAATTTCCAACAAATAGGTAGAATGTCTGTCCAATAATCTGATTGGTCTTAGAGGAAACTCCCAAAGAAGATTTCCAGAATCCACAAAGCTACGAAATTAGAACTTGTTCAAGAGATAGCATCATCTAGACAGAGGAAAGGAACGGTGAAACGATGAACAACCTCAAGGATGCATATATATTCGTTCTAATGCATAAGAAATGAGGGAGAAAAGAAAAAGAAAACTGATTTTTAACGGCAAATCAAAATCAACACCAAGAAGCCTATATGTATGCTTTAACATTGGCGATACAGTCCAATTCACAGAAAGAAACAGATAAAACCAAACTTCAGAGAACGCATCGCAAAGAGAGTTCAGCGCGAAAACACGAAAACAGAGATCTGGCTATTTATTAGACAAGAAGGAAGAAGATAATGAATGATGAAAAAAAAAACCTAATTTTGGGGGAAGAAAAATGATAGAGACACCTCCAGGTTTATCCATCGGCCTTAACGTACAAACAAATCCAACACACAGAAAGATCGAAATCGAATCTTTAGCGCAGAAGCCATAGAACCCGGGTCAGGAAGTATTCTATATTATCTTTCACACAACAACGCTTCCTCCGCAGACCCAACGGAGGCATAAAAGAAGAGGATGTCTACCTCCAAGAGATGGTCCGGAGTTGGATTGCGTCGGACTGATCGGCCACCTTCCTGGCCAGCTCCTCGGACTCGGAGCAGTAGAAGAGGTTTACCTGCTTCTTTGTCCTCATCGCCATTGCCCAGCACCCCGCACCAACGCCGCCCTGCCGCCTAAGCCCAAAGTTTCTTCACCGTCTCGTCGAGTCCCGAAAGGAAATCGATTCGAAGAAAGAGAATTTACGGAAACTTTTCCCCAAAGTCGGTAATATAGTCGCCACATCAATGCACCCAAAGGCATACAAATCATCTTAGAAGGGAAAAGCTATCTTCTCAACATTTCATTTTGTGAACATAGTTCGCCTATGCGCCTCTAAATAAGCATAAGAACTTAGTAATTGTTAGTGAATGTAAATAGCAGTGGGCATCAATTAATCGGCAATCTAATGGATAACAGATATTTTATCTCAGAGGTGGCATTGGAATTAATTGCCCATACATTTTTGTTGATGATCTACGTAGGCATCTCGATCGAAAAAAAATCAATAGATAAATTATCAAGAAAAATAAATATATGTGAAACATAAATGATGATCAACTATAAATCCTCCGAGAAAGAGGACTTACAAAGAAGAAAGAGGAATCATTCCATTAGCTTAAACACAATGTTATCATCGATGGATCCCTTCATTTCAGCCGATTCAGTAAACCCACAGCTATCTTCGTAGCACAATTACAATGAAATGCCATAGCTTTGAAGACACAACTGCAGTCAAACAAAGATATCAGGATAAAAAGTTAATAGGAGAAAAAGATAGCAGAGCACAGCTCCAAAACGATTTGCTATGAGCATTCACCTCTTCCCCTCTCAGACTAAATAAATTTTACAACAGAAGTAAACAGCATGATTCTTTTCTTTGTCCCTTTACTGTTAATGGAGAAGCATGATATTTGATGGACCTGTCAGGTAAGGAAGTAAGCAAAATTCATCATACCCATAAAAGTTGACTTTGATTAAACAATAAGAATATCCCAAGGTACCAATGGGATGTGCTGCAGTAAATTCACTGTCTACAACATGCCAAGAGTACAACCAATGGCAACTAAATGATGACAGAAATTGAGAAGTTCATCTTCTACCACAAAGAGCCTGGCAACTTCAGTCTGAATCATACTGAGTTTCAAAGATTTGACTTTCCCACCAAAGATGAAATCTTTGGAGAATCAGTCGAAACATCCGAGGATAGTCAATCAGTCTTTCCCTCCTGAGCTCCAACCTCTTGCAGGTAATGCTCCGCATCCAAAGCAGCCATGCATCCTACAGCATTCCAAGGATCACAATATATCAGTTGAGTAACTGGTCGAATGGCTACCCAAGGAAACAGTTAGTTCTGGTGTTGACAAGAAAGAAGAAACAAAAAAAGGGACTGTCATGAGAACCAATATCAGTTCAATCAGATCAAGATAGAAAATTCAACTTTTGCATATTTCATTTTCTAATATTTTCTTCCCATTCTGCATTTCAGATATATCAAAGAACATAAATGATTGCTGCTATAACTTTTGGTATAACCACAAGCTGACAGAAAACATAAATAATTTATATCAACATTTTTTACTCCAAACTCCTAATATAAACATAAACACAAGGCAAACATGCTGTAAAAACCACAAAGTCCAATTTACTGGTGGTACAGCATAAACTAGCTACACCACTGAGAAATATGTGCTATAATATCTTGCCCACAAGTTCTGGACTATTGTGAAGAATCAACAAACAAATGTTTCTTTTTCACTCGAAGAAAATGACATATCATGTAGATTGCAAGTATCAAAAAATTAATTTGAAAGATAAGGTAGGTTCAATAAAGTGAATAATAACAAGTTCATATTGAACGGCCAATATTTGACCAGCAGCTGAACAAGAAAATGGAGAAGCTATCATCTAATAAATTAACATTTTAGGAAAAGCTCAAATCAAGGTGTCACGAGATTAGCAGCATGTGTCAATCATGAAAATTAACTGCAACAATTTTATTGAAGATACAGAACATTCAATATATAGAACATGGGTACATCATGATTTCTCTAAAAATTAATATTCGACAAACTACTCAATTTACAGTATGAAATAAATGAAAGTGACCTTGATGAAATCCTAAAGAGAAAGGAAACAAGTTATCATAGCTTATATCTTCATGCTTTCGCTTTATCACTGAGTTATATTTGCTGGAGAATAAGAAGCACTGTTCATATTAAGCTATATTAAGGTAAAAGTTAGGAAGAGATAAAGTTTAAATAACACTCAGGAAGTGGTGATGACCATGAGGCCACAAAAAACACTTTCGAACTGAGAAACTAACACCTAGAAATGAGAAAGAACAACCAATTGATTTGCTTTACAAAGAGAGACAAAAGTGCAGAACTTTATAAAGAAGACAAAGATACCAATAATTTATAGAGAGATACCATTCAACACCAGTACCAGGAAAGTCAACAATCTATCTAAGAGTGCTTACTTTGGTTAGGCTTTAATATCCTTCAGAGGAAGGAAAGTTTAAGCCTTACCACATGGTGAACAGGTTATTTCCATTTTCAGGAAGAAACTGTAAGCCATCTCCTGCTATGCAAAATTAGACATAAGCTAAAAAATGGGAAATGTGTCTTACAGATTCATGAAAGAGATCAAATGATTAACCATTTAGCCAACCTCCAGCTCAGTCATAAAACCTTCTCACAGAAAATGGATTTAAAATTTCAAAAAGAACTAAATTAAAATTGAGTTACATGACAAAAAAAATAGCAAGGAGCCAAACTGAGAGGCTAGGACCATTGTTTAGCATTGTTACTTGAGCTTTTCTCTGGCCACTATGGTGGAGTTTTAGCTTCATGAGAACTAAACTGCAGCTTGTCTTAAGGGATGATTAGAGGGATAGAATCATTTCAGTACACATATATGACTGCGATTGACCAATTGTTTCAGATGTTCCTAACCGTGAAGGGTCTTAGTAAATTAGAGGGTTGAGGACTACAGCACTTCTAAAGCAGAGAAAAGAATAAGCAAAAGATCTCTTTTCACCAAGAAACATGAGGCAGGAAAATATTAGAAGGAACAATATGGTTGGTCATATTTTGCAGATTATGCAGTGGGTTACCTTCAATTCTTCAAATGAAATAAAACTAATAGCTCTTTACTTTCTTCAGCTAATGATGTTCCATAAAGATAAAGGAACAAAGATGAAGCTCACGTGAAGGTAAACCCCTACGTTTAAAATATTAACTGTGGCTCTCATGTCATACTGTTAGCAAAAGACAAACTTACTCAAATGACAAAATTTCAACATATTTCTTTTAAATTAGATACAAGGTGCTTGTAATAAATGCAATAAAGTGTGCGGTATTTTTAGATTTTTGTATGCATTCATTGTATAATATGACCGATGCTAGTCAGAAGCTCACATGGAATGGTCTTTGGTTGGCTTTATATGTAGCACAGCCAATAATGAAAGATCCCTTTTCTTTTGGTGAAACACACACCGTATGTAGATATTTGTGGAAACGGAAAAGAAAAATACAAAAAATAAATGAATAAGAAGAACTGAATGTATTTATTGCATCCTATCTAACTGTATAGGAAAAATAAATGATACCTCTAGTGTTCACTTTTCCAAACTAACCATTTCTCAAAAGAGAACTCTGAGAATTATATCTACATTAGTTTACTTTCAGAGACATTTAGTCAAAATTATTAAGGTTAGCCATTCATTTGGGTGATTGACAAATTATTAGTAATTCTAACACCAATGGTAAGGACAATAACTCATATTTAAACTTACGAATACCATCTCAATAGTGCAAGACAAATGACAATCTCTAAATCCTACATCAAACAGTAAGGACGGCGGCTCACAGTTAAGCTTATGAATATTATCTCAGAAGTGCAACACTCATCATTGTCTTAGTGTCAATTAAATCTATATTTGCACTATGCTTTAGTTAATGTAATGATAAAATTACGCACAACAATGAAATAATGAAACAAGCAAGAGGCTTTGAACATCAACGATTAAGAACCAAGTTAATCTGCACATAGTTATGTCATTCTACCACTCAACCTAACAAAAGCTCCCACTAAAATAAATCCTAAATTTACCATGGAACAATAAACAAAGCAGTTGTGACATGAACATAAAATCAAACTCGAGTACTTCCACATCCCATAAAGAGACTATCAACTATCAATAATAGCCTCATTGCAGGAATTCCTTCGCCATTATATTTTTGTACTGAGAAATCATTTTTTGAAGGGTATTTTCTGAAAGCAAGATCATCAACAGATATTAAAACAGTCAGTCGCCCACCGGATCCAGCAGCGGTGATAGCCTGCCGGTACTTCTTGTCCTGCACATCCCCTGCGGCAAAGACACCCTTCACGCTGGTGTGTGTTGTCCCGGGCTTGGTGACGACATAACCATCGGAGTCCAGCTCCAGCTGCCCCCCAAGGAACTTGGTGGCAGGCTCGTGCCCGATGGCAAAGAAAAGTCCCGACACCTTGAGATCAGACACCTCCCCGGTGACAACGTTTCTTACCTTCACACCGGCAAGCGGGCCGTCGGCCTCCCCGAAGGCCTCGACCACCTCCGAGTTCCACAGCACCTCAATCTTGGGGTTCTCGAGAGCCCTCGCCTGCATGATCTTGGACGCCCGGAACGTATCCCGGCGGTGCACGATGTAGACCCTCGACCCGTATTTTGTCAGGAAGTTGGCCTCCTCCATGGCAGAGTCGCCGCCGCCGACTACCGCGATCGGGCGGTTCCGAAAGATGGGCGCGGCCCCGTCGCAGACGGCACAGGCCGAGATCCCCCGGTTCCAGAACACGTCGGCCCCGGTGAAGTGAAGGCGGCGGGCGACAGCACCGGTGGCAACGACGACGGCGTCCGCCTCGACGGAGGTGGAGGAAGAGATCACGCGGAAGGGACGGACGGCGAGGTCAACGGTGGTGACAGTCTCACTGAGGATCTCAGTGCCGAAGCGGAGGGACTGGGCGCGGCACCGGTCCATGAGCTCGTAACCCATGATGCCCTCCGGGAACCCAGGGAAATTCTCGACGTCGGTGGTGGTGGTGAGCTGCCCGCCGGCGGCGATGTCGTTGGCCATCCACCCTTCGAAGAGGATAGGCTTCAGCTCCGCGCGGGCGGCGTAGATCGCCGCCGTGTGGGCGGCGGGGCCGCTGCCGATGATGCAGAGCCGGGTGCGGAGGGTCTTAGTAGGTGCGTCGGCCATGGCGGTAGCGGTGGAGAAGGGCTTGACGGGATGCGGCGAAGGCGCGGCGGCTGCAGCGGAGGAGTCAGAAGCGACGGCGCCACCAACAAAAGAGCAGGCGTTCTTGAGGAGGGCAGAGAGCTTGGATCGGAGGTTCATGGAACGGAGCGCCGTCGCAATTGCCGCCGCTGGGCTCGTAGCCTTCCGCTTCCTCGTGTTGTGATACCTTTTGGGTTGGGCTTTTAGGTTTGGGCTTAGGGTTGGGATCATTCAGCCGTTTGTTTGTATGGCGAACAATTACCTATTGTTTTGGACCGCAAATGTATGTGCGTCGACGTAACGTAAGCTCGAATGGGTGCTTTGTTTGTCGTCACAAGTGGTTATATTTATACCCGTAGAGCTTCGCATCGCTTGGCTCGTCCGCCACCGCATATGCCTTGCGCAGCCTCTCTCTCAAGAAAAGGGAGGCATCGGTGAGCAGCGAAGTAAGGTGGGAATACTAATCAGTGTATGTTTCCGGGCAACGAGTAAATTGGTGTTCGCTAGCATTCTATTTGGCTATCTGTGAGCAAAAGTAAATTGGGGAACTCATAACACTTTGATTTAGCCCCGTAAACTAATATTTAACTAAGACTTAACTATTGTTATTATAAATTAATGGATTAGTCATCTCATCGGGCCAAAATCCTTACTTATATTACCACGAATGAATCAAATTACGATAAACATATTAATTATGTTGTTGATGGCAATTATAACAAGTCTCATTTATAACCAATAAATGTTAACAAAATTATTATGATTTTCACTTAATTTCTGTCTAGAAAAGATATGTGGCTATTATAATTTTAGTGAGATATTCTTTAGTTTAGTACATTATTACACAATTGATAGGCTCATGTTTGATTTGATATACGAATATTTTATATATAATTAATTATACTAATAAAAAAATAAAAATATATATATATATTAGATTTTGATATGAAAGAAACGATAATAATTGTATGAGATGGCATCGCCCTACACAAAACCATCCGCGGTAGTACGAGACGATACTGCACGCCGTGAAACCATGCAAGTTGGTCTACGTCGCCAAGAGCATATGAACCGATCGTTTAGGGGATTGACGATCATTAATGAACCCCAGATGATAAGTATAAAAGTCAACCCCCTTGCTAACGTGAGGGGATAATTCCCCGAGCAGTCAAACACACCAAAACTCACTTCAATATTATCCTATTAACTTAAGCTTTAAAGGGGGTCGAGTTGGAATTCTCCCTCCCAACTTTAGCTTATGTATAAGAACCTAACAAGAGAGGAAAAGTAACTTCGAGCTTGACCTCAGATCGGCTCGACAAGAAACGTCCTGACCTGGCACAATCCTTCTCTCGTCGGAAAGCCATGTTGATAACCTTGTGCATTTGGATCGTACTGAACCGTGCTAACAACTCAGTCACACCGTAAAATTGCACAACAAGAAAGAATTTGTACAATTTAATCCATAAAAGAAAAGTAGTAAAAACAATCTTATTTGATTCGTAACTTCCATATTAACTGTTTGCAGATCAAATTAATTATAGGATATTCTCATTTAAATAAGCAGATCGTTGTGATCGATATAAGAAAAATATCAGCGACGGATCGGACGGAGGACTGTGCACAGAAATGGGATTTGCGTGATACACTATCCATAAAAAGGTTATAAACCGTTCCGTCTTAATTGCTTGCATAATCAAATTAATCATATGTTATTCTTTATTTATGTACAAGAATAATATTATTCCACGGAATGATCTGAAATAAATGTGATTCGCGTGATCCTCATAACCGTTTGTTCTCTGGACGATTGAAATAGGAAGCAGAATGAGACGAACGGTTATGCCTTTTCCTCAAATTTAGATTCTTTCTTTACTCTCCCCTTCCCCACCACCCACCAATACCCATAACAATAATCATAAATAAGAAAAGAAAAAGAAATTAATGCCCTCCCTCTCTCCTCCATTGATCTTTACGCTTTCCTTCGTCCGATTCTTTCTCCTTCCTCTCCCCCTTTTGTTGGTTACCGGATGTCTTCTCATCTCTTCTGCAATCGCCTTCATCCATGTCTGAGATCGTCTCGGAAAAAGAGAATCGTGGCTTAATTTTGCTTTCCGTTCATCGATTCTCCTTGTCGCTCACTTTGCATCGAATTGAGAGATCCATGGCGCTGCAGTTGATCTGTTGCTTTCTAGTGTTCTTGCTCTATGGCAATGTTTCCGGAAAGGAATGCACCAACACTCCTAATGAGCTATCTTCTCACACTGTTCGTGCTCAGCTTATGTCCACCGAGAAGCAATCTTGGAAGGCGCATGCGCTCTCTGACTACCACTTAAACCCCACGGATGAGTCCGCGTGGATGGAGTTGGGACGGAGAGAAGCGCTGAATAAGGAGGTTGGTATCGAGGAATTTGACTGGCTGATGCTCTACCGGAGCATGAAGGGTTTCGGCCGGGTCGAGGTGATCGCGAGGCAGCGAGGAGAAGATTTCCTTAGCGAGGTGTCGCTCCACGACGTTCGTCTTGACCCGGATTCCATGTATGGACGAGCACAGCAGACGAATTTGGAGTACTTGTTACTTCTTGATGTCGATCGACTGGTTTGGAGCTTTCGGAAACAGGCTGGTTTATCAGCTCCGGGTGAACCTTATGGAGGATGGGAGAGACCAGATGTGGAGATTAGAGGGCATTTTGTGGGTAAGTTGTTTGTAAGAGAACTATAACTCTAGTTGCTGGCCGCTCATGCTTTTTGCAAATTGCTTGTGGTGTTTCTTTCATATACTGATTGATCTTTTTGTGCTTGTTTTCTCACCAATTTGTTCATAATGGAAAAGCCTTTTATTGTTGGATTGGCTGGCATCAGTATATTCTTTTTCTTTTTCTTTTTTTTCTTTTTGGATTGAGAGCTTAACATTTAATAAAGGATCTTAGCTTTCTAATTAGTAATATAATTGTAGTAATTTGTAATAAAGAATCTTAACATCCAATAGTTGTTTTAGATAAATTTGAAAGAGAATCGTCACACTGATGTTGTTTTTGTGTTTCTCCAAATACCTACAAGCGGAGGACATTAATTGTCTTCCTGATGGTAATTGAACTACCGTTAGCATGTTCTTGCTGTTCCTGGTGTAAACGAATTCATTTTCTCTAGAAACCTAGAAGTTTTTGTCATTCATTATTTTTTTTAGATATCTTTGCTCTGTCCATTGTCTCCCTGGGATATGGATTCATCATTTGACATCAAAATTTCATGAACTCTGCTTCCATGTTTGATAATTTCTCTATCAGCTAAGCATTTTGCCAGTAACTTTCCTACGTCTACTTAGAAATTTTGTCTCGATCAGAAGAAGCAGTCTTCTTCTGTAATCTCATTAAAGTTTAAAGAAAAGGAAAATGTTAGCTACAGCACTTCAACTGCCCCTTCAATTAGCTCTTGATTTGTTGCCCTTCATAGTTTTTCCTTCCTTATATATATGTATTACAGGATGTGCGTAGGCATGATAATGCACATGATAGAGTTTACTGGAAGATAGAGTTCCTAGCTCATGGGGAAAACCTGCCTGATGCCAACCGTTCAGCTACTTGGATGGTGGTGTTTTGCCCTTCGATTTTCTGTTGGGGTTGTCATGGCACACTAATTAATCTTTCTACTGCTGATACATTATTGAGATCTTTAGCTAAAATGAGTTGAATGAGACAGTGAGACTACAAATTGGCACCAGCGCCACAATAAAATCTAATAGAACACTTAAATCTCCTGTTTTATAATCAGTCAAGTTGGTTATGAAACATATATTGCATTTTAAATGTATAGCACAACGCTATCCTGTAATCTTCTGGTATTATAACAAGGAGAAACAGACTAATTGAAGTATCTTTTCCTTTGTTGTGTGAACATGTGAAACTTGAATATGTTGGTCTTAAATCCGAGTGCTTATCATGTATCACAACTGAGCCTTGTACTACATGGTTTATATCTAATCAGATAACCTAGACCAATTAACTGTGTCTACCTATGAACTGATTTGGCATTGAAGTGACCACTAGATGCCTTACCATAAAGGCTTACTTGGTGTAAGTCTTGGCCACAATTTATGAGTTGTTTAAACTTTAAAGTTTGTCCAACTTCTTGCTGTTCTTTCGTTGATCATTAAACTAAATATTTATAATTGTTTCTGTTGTAATCATGTTAGTTTTCACAGTTAATGTTCTCATGTGGTCACTTGTATAAGAATATGCTAATTATTTATTGAAGATCAGTGACATGTTAATTTCTCATTGATTCAGGCAGAATGTAGTAGGAGTGCATGTGTAATGCTGAGATGAATTCTGGTTTATTGATTTTTTCCTATAAAGTTGATCAAAGTTGGTCTGGGGAAGTAAGAAAGGACGCAATCCTCTTGGACTATCTAATACACTACTGTTCACTCATCTTAACAATGGTTATAATTACATATCTGTGCAGCATACCAGATTTCTATGGATATAACCATCTTTTCTTTGAATTCTTCCTAAAATTTGAGTTGATGATATGCTGTCATAATCTTGATTGCTGCATTTTGCAGGGCACTATGTGAGTGCTTCTGCTCAAATGTGGGCTAGTACACACAACAGAACGCTATATGAAAAGATGTCGTCAGTGATTGATGCACTTTATGAATGCCAGAAGAAGACAGGCACAGGATATCTGTCTGCTTTCCCTCCTGAATTTTTTGACCGTTTTGAAGCTATAAAAAGTGTTTGGGCTCCATATTACACAATTCACAAGGTAATTTATCAAGATTCTGATACTTGATAACTTGAATAAAATGCATTGCCATTGATTGCTGACATCTTCATCTTTAACTGCCATTGTCATTTGTTATTCTTCTATATTTAACCTAATGCTGATCTACTGACAGATCATGGCTGGCCTCCTCGATCAACATATATTAGCTGGTAGTGTCAAAGCATTGCAAATGGTGGTGTGGATGGCAGATTACTTTGGGAACCGTGTCAAGAATGTTATACAAAAATACAGCATAGAAAGACATTGGTCGTCTCTCAATGAAGAAACTGGTGGGATGAATGATGTTCTTTATAGGCTCTACAGTGTGACGGTAAATTACCTTGTGAACTTCGTATTGCAATTTGCAATTACATACTAGTAATATGGCTACACAATTGCCCACTTGGTCACTGTTTTGAATTCTGCAATTTTATACAAAACCCTTGAAGGGATACACAAAACACCTTTTTTCATAAATTTGACTAAAAAAATAACCATCTTTTCGCCATCCTGCCTTCTATGTTGGTGATTTACCCCTTGCTGTGCTTGTCTAGATGAGAGTGATGGGCATATCTGATGATCATGAGGTGATAAGCAATTGTTGCACAGACTATCATGCAGTCTTTAAGTAAATTTTAGTAGATCAATTAAGAAAAATGGCATCATTTGGTTAGGTAAAATCGGATGAAGATTTATGTTGTGCACCTTGCTTCATGAAGCCTTTCTAGTAGGAAAATAAGTTCATTATTGGTCTTTTCATGGGTTCAAGTTATAAGAAAATCCATATATAATTTTGTCATTACCTATGGTTCTGGATCTTCTTGGTTGGATTAGTAGTCTCCTGAATTGTTGAAAGCATTTCCGTTGAAGGTAAATGTCTAACTCATTCTATCTCATCTTTTTACTACAGAGGATAATATAATCTTCCTATGTACATTCGCCATGTACACATGTCTTTATTGTAATTAAAAATATAAAGAAGCCTTTTTTATTGAAAAATGAAAAAAAAGGAATTTACATTTTTCACTGTTACTTGCTATTTTACCAACCATTGGAAACTAATATTTGTTTTCAGTTTTTTTATGTACAAAATTTTTTTTGCTACTGGTTAATATAATTGACAGTAATTTCTAATCGATACTTATGTTAAAGCAATAAGAGTGTTCTGTTTATATGATTATAGCATCTGTGCAGATGTCTTAGCATAAGACAGTAATTTTTTTTGCTACTGGTCAATATAATTGACAGTAATTTCTAATATTTGTTTTCTTTCATGTTGTTTCATATATAAAGTCAGCACAAAACTATATGAAACTTAGCTTGAAAGAAGCTCTTCTAGTTATTCATGGTGTGCGACATTGTTATAAGTTATAACTGCTTAAAGTTCTGATAATTTAAAATTCAATACCATTGCTTTGGTAGCAATATTGAGGTTATCCCAAGGTTTATCGTACCACAGCGTATTGCTCGATATGGGTGGCATGTATCTGCTCGATAGGGGATCGGTATAGGTACTAGTTTGCCAGTACACCTCACCGTACCATGTGTCAATACATTGGTACGGTTCGGTATGTAGTATATTGATGGTTGATCGATACACTAGTATGGACTAGTAAGGCAAACCATGGGTTATCCAATGTTGAAAGAATTGGGCTCTTAAGCTAGATGAAATAGTTTTGAATCTTTAGTGGTTAAAATTACTGCAGACATGTAAGTAATAGACAATTGTGGCATGGTAATATCAATAAAATTATATATATTTTTACTGCTCCAGTTCTCCAATGATCTAAAGTTGTTTAAAAAATTGTCTACTTCAAGAGCACCTGATATCCTAGTGAAGCTTGCAGTCCAAGCATTATTGGAATACTTTGTTAGTAAGAATCTTTTGAAAAAAATACTTGTATTTAATTTCTTGTTGTCGACAACTTTTTGGTCAGTATTGTAGGAACAAAAAGCTAAATCAGAGTTTCTTGTTTGACTAATGCAGAAAGATCAAAAGCATCTGGTATTGGCTCATCTTTTTGACAAGCCATGTTTTCTTGGTTTGCTTGCAGTTCAGGTAATCATTCATGTCCCAGATCATAGTTCCCTCCCCTTTTTTTATAACTTTATGCATCTGCATTTCGGCTGGCCAACACTAAAATCACTTCAAATGGTAAAAGGTAGTTACTGGTTGTTCCTTCCTGTGTTTTTTATAACTTTATGCATCTGCATTTTGGCTGGCCAACACTACAATCACTTCAAATAGTAAAAGGTAGTTACTGGTTTGATCTTTCACATCTTGTGGCCTTTTGACAATTGATACAACTCTCCAGAAATTTACCCACATGGTGGACAATCAACAAAAAATAGAAACTATATGCAGAATTGTTGAAGTGATGGAAAAAATATGATTGTCATAGAGTTCAATTATTTGATTTTTTTTAGCAATATATATTATTTTGCAGAAGATTCGTGGTTTCTTCTGTTGCTGCTTTCCTTCAATTACTCCAGCCCATAACATTCTTTTCCCAACTTAAAAACATTGTATGCCTTTCATGAGAATAATATGCTCCATTTTATCAATTCTTTTGACTTGGGATGTAATATATGAACTACTATGTCCAAAATAAGAAACATGGCAGCCAACATGATGAAAGGACATTAGTTCAAGAATAGAAAAGAAAGCTTTTGGGAGGCAACAAGTAAAATAAAAAAAAAAAGGAAGAGGACACACATAAATTTGAGAAAAAAAATAAACCAGATGCTTGTGATGTATAGTTATTTATTTTATCCAAAATTGTTCTCCTTTGTGGTCTCTCCTCCCTCTGTCTCTTACCTTTCAAGTGTCATCAATCATGCCCAATGCAGGCAAAATATTATGACAATTTCTTTTGACAAGGTATCTCATAGGCTACTATATCACTTGCTTTAATTACATAACGTAAACCAACCAATGCCAACAAACTGGTGAACATACATAGTGATTGAAGCTTAAAGTGAATGTTATGTGATGATGAACATATTGTTGTAAAGTGTACAATATGTTGTAATAACAACAAAATGTCATTATCTTTGTAATCTTGTCATGCAAAACAAGCTAATAGTTTCATATTTCTAATGGCAGGCTGACAGCCTTTCTGGTTTTCATTCAAATACACATATCCCAGTTGTTGTAGGAGCACAGATGAGATATGAGATCACAGGTGATCCACTATACAAGGTAATTGTGTCTTTAACAAGGAATTATTTTTTTAATATCTGAAGCTACACTCTACTGATTACATCAATAGTGACATCTGAAAGATGATCAAAATAGTAGTAGATGCCATCTTCTTTCTCTTTGAACTTGGTATGTATCGTTTGCAGACTGAGGCCTTGTGTTAACTATGTTCTTTCAAGGGGCACAAACCAGCTGCTCAGGCTGGATCTCTTGCAGTTGTTGTGTCTTTTACTTCTTAGCATTTCTTTAATTGCTTTCTTCTATGATGTTACATGGCAACTTTTATGTTTGTTTGGGGTGCCATTTGTCATTGTTGTGTAGCCAGTACACCAGACCATTTAGAAGTCAAAGCCAGTCAACAATTGCTAAGTGCTCATGTGTAATCTGTCCTTCCATTTTTTAGAACAGTATATTTTAGAACTTGTCTCAAAATGTAGAATGATCTGGCTAGACACTCAATTCATCTTTCAGGATATTGGTGCATTTTTTATGGATGTTGTGAATTCTTCCCACAGCTATGCTACAGGAGGAACCTCAGTTGGCGAATTCTGGTAACATGATTATTGGTAGCTTTTGTTTCCATTTACTACTTTGACTGATAGGTAATTTGTCGAATTGTTCATACGATGATGAATCTTGAAATATCATGCCAATATGTGACCTTTAGTTTCTGAAAAATATTTTACGGTTTCTGTATTCTAGAAATGGTATAATTTAAGATGCTCTTTTCTTCTGTTACAGTCTGTCTGTTAACTTTGATGTGTAGGTCTGATCCAAAACGTTTAGCAGATACACTAGGTACAGAAAATGAAGAATCTTGCACAACTTACAACATGCTTAAGGTGCAGCAACCTTGCTTTTGCTAGTATTACCTACCTCTTCTTCAGAATATACAATTATTAATTAACATCTAAGGTTCTCACTCCAATCGAGACCAGGAAAAAGGTTACCAAGGTGTCAAAACTTGAAGATGTTTATCTCACATAGAGTGTCATTTCTCAGGGTATATCATTTTCTTTTTTTTAAATGTATGCCTGTCTGCAGGTATCTCGCAACTTATTTCGTTGGACAAAGGAAATGGCATATGCTGATTATTATGAGAGAGCAATATTGAATGGCGTGCTAAGCATTCAAAGAGGGAAGGAGCCTGGAGTGATGATTTACATGCTTCCACTGGGGCGTGGATACTCCAAGGCAAGGAGCTACCACGGGTGGGGAACAAAGTTTGATTCATTTTGGTGTTGTTATGGAACAGGTAGTGTGATGTTCTTCCTGAGCCTCTCTGGTTTTTTAGCTATCAAAAGCTGTATCTTTTTCTTTCCACTTCTGTAAACTTAATAATTATCTATTATGCAGTGACTGCATGACCATAAATTCATGGAAATTCCCAGTTTATAGGCTCTGATGACTTGGAACTTGTCTACATTTGAACTGATCCTTTTTGATGTAATATTTTTGAAGATCATACGATGGGTATTCATTCTTTCTCTCTTTGTTTTTGCAGGAATAGAATCATTTTCAAAGCTAGGAGATTCTATTTATTTTGAGGAGAAGAGAACAACACCAAGCCTTTATGTCCTACAGTATGTATCAAGTTCTTTTATTTGGAGATCTGCAGGGATTGAACTCAAGCAGAAGACAAAACCTGTTAATTCCTTTGATCCTTATCTCCAAGTATCCATAACGATTTCAACTAATAAGGTACCATGAAGCAATTTAATTACTGTTGGGTATAAATAAGATCAAGACTTGAATAATCCACAGAGATTACCTGTAAATATCAATCTTGCTCTATATGGATTATGCATCATTTACACAATAAACTTTGATACTGATAATAATACTCTTCATACATAGAAGTATTCAGATTAGCTTTGTCACAACATCAATGCTCTTTTGATGGATTCATTCCTATCAGAAAAAAAAAATCAATCAAGGGCTTTTATTAATGTCATAAGAACTAGTTCCATTGAAAGACTTATAAAGATCTAATTTATTTTATATCTTGTGTCCACATGTAGTCAAGTAGTCAAATTTCAACTTTGAACCTGAGGATACCATCTTGGACATCTTTAGATGGTGCAAAAGCAACTCTAAATGATAACAATCTGCAGCTACCATCTCCTGGTATGATTTTGTTCCATCTTTTCTTTGAGATAGATCTCATGGCTTTTATAGGTTTCAGTTATATCTTTCCTTCATGCCTATTGCTGTCCACGTAAACTTATATGAGCCTTAGAGCATAATGCCAATATGTATCATCAGTTCCAGTAGCAGTACAGAAGTAGTTATCAGGAAACAAGTCTTCAATTTCTTTAAATCTGATCAATATTGAAGTACAAAGACTTGTATGAGATGCTAGTTATTGAAATGAGTTTCTTTTTCTTCATGTATGGAAATTTAGTAAATAAATGGTCAAATAAGTCCAACTTTACTACTTTATATGATTTCTGAACCCCCATTGATCAGCATCCACTACTGGAAAGGAATGGGATATGTATTTTGGACAACTCAATAATAAGTCTTTGTTTTTGTTCTCCATGACTGATATCTTTGATCTTTCTTTTCCCTGTTTGACGTTGAAGCGGTTGTAGGTTCACCATCAGCAGCAATAGTGCATCTTTCCCTTCCCTTGCCTTCATTTTTACAATTCCTGTTCCTGTTTTCCCAAGCACTGAATTGACAATTTCTATGCTGTCAGTTCTCCGTCTTCTCTCCCTCAGGCTTTTTGGAATCTGAGTGCTATGTTCACTTGTAGATTCCAGTCTCATTCTACTTCATGAAGTTTACCTTGAGCTTGGAATGCTGGATCTTGTTGGTTGCTTAGCTTTGTTTCTTGGTTATCATGAACAAGGTATGCAATACCGTACCGTACTGTTTCGAAGTTGGCTCGGTATGGTACCGAACGGTAAACTAGGGCGTACCGAGCAGTTTTAAATATTTCTTCCTCTTACTGTAGCACTATAGCACGTTCTGTCCGGTAACGGGCGGTCTGCGTCGGTATGCCATCGGACCGGTACGTACCGCCCATATCGGACGGTACCATTTGAAATTGTATACCATGATCATGAAGTTGGCTAAAATATGCTTTTCTTGGAATTTAAACATAATGTTAGCCAGAACAATAAACCGTTCTTATAGAGAGAAAAAAAGTTTGAAGAGTTCAGACTAGGTTAAGCTCCTTGTTTGGGGCATAAGCATATGTCAACAATCTTGTCCTTGGTTCAAAATCCAATTTTGTGTTTGCATCTAAGGCTGCAAACTGTAGCTTGTTTTGATACTTGGTTGCCTTTGTTCTGCAAATTTTCTAACAGCAATGTGTTTTGGCAGGAAATTTCATTTCTGTGACCAGAAATTGGATGTCAAACGACATCGTGACTGTTACATTGCCTCTCAGATTAAGGATGGAGCGCATACAGGGTTAGTTCACAGAACTATAGTGAATCTCACAATGTACTTGATGCAATTATTTCACTTTTTTGTTTTCTTCTTTGGCTTCTAATTGAGAACCTTTTAGAGGAAAGCACAATCAATTTGTTTTGCTGACAGTAATATATATATTGGGAGTAGATTGAACCGATCTGACACTTGAATTTGATCCATGATTTCTGGCAGATGATCGGCTTGAATATGGATCTATCCAGGCAATTCTTTTTGGACCGTATCTTCTTGCAGGTCTGACCAATGGCGACTGGGACATTAATACTGGGAATTCCAGCTCTATCTCCGACTGGATCACGGCCATTTCAGCTTCATATAGTGGTCAGCTGATAAGCCTCACGCAGGAGACCAACGGCAAGACGCTCGTCTTCTCCAATTCCAACGGCTCACTGACAATGGAGGAACTGCCCATTGAGGGGACTAATGCGGCTATCCACGGAACATTCAGATTTGTGTTCCCCGAGAAGGCGGCTGCTGTCCAGAGCTACGTTATGCTGGAGCCATTTGATCTTCCTGGCACGACGGTGGTGCATCGAGGCCCGAACAATGGGCTCGCAGTGTCATCATCGTCGATTGCTCCTGGTGCTGATGCCATGTTCAACATAGTACAGGGGTTGGATGGCGAACATGGGACGGTGTCGTTGGAGTCGAGCACCCAACGAGGATGTTTCGTGTGTGGCATCGGTGGATCGTATCTCTCTGCTGCCGGGAACAAGACGGTTCAACTGATCTGCCCATCGGATTCGGAGCTCGACATGATGTCTTTCCGGCAGACTGTGAGCTTCACTCCTGTTGCCGGAGGGTTGAGGCAGTACCATCCTATTAGCTTCGTGGCTAAGGGAGTCAGCCGGAATTTTCTGCTGGAGCCTTTGCTGAGCTTGAGAGATGAGACATACACTGTCTACTTCGACATCCACCAACAAGGCAATCCAGCGATCGACAACTTTGCCAGAGCCACCTTCACGCCCGTCGAATATGACACATCGTGATGTGTGTTACGTTGATGGGTCGCAGCCAATTCTCGACGGCAGCCAGATGTAAATATGTTTGTGTCGTAATCTATAAACTCATTTGACTGAAAGATTATAGAACAGCATCCATCTGTCATATTTGTGGTGCCGAGATTACATCTATAGAACAGAGCAACAGAATATATCATCGTTGCTGTCTGACATGAGTTCGCAGTGAGTCCTAAATCTTAGATTCAAGGAACCATTCTTAAAGCACCACAACCAACCTAAATCTTCTGCACCTCTCTACTGATACTTGAATATAACACCACCCATATATCATAAAAATGCACAAGAATTCATTGTCTACAAAACCAAACACAACAACAACAGTAACAAGCCTTAGTGACTTGACCATTTTTGAACTACCAAAACCTAGTCCAGTAGATCATATGCTGCTAAAACTAAGTCTCTCCGTTGATAGCATGCTCATGAGTCATAATTTTTTCTTGATAATATAGATATTGTGGCCAATTAAAAACCAGCAATACAAGACCATAGGACTTCGAAGCCGGGGACAGACGAAATCATAGATTTACAAACCTAAAAACCCTTTATGTAACAACAGAAAAAGAACAGCTCCAAGTTCCAATTACCTCAAATTTGTTCCACTTTGGAGAAATGGACATATTGCAAAACGTTAACCGGACACTTGCATAGAACACTGTAGAGCATAAGAACAAAAAGAAAACAAAGACGGGTATTAAGGGCAAAACATGAACCCCAACCTTCCCAATGGCATTCCTCAATAACCACAATTCAGATCATCGATCCAAAATGTTTCTCCATACCATACAATCAATAAAGCAAATTATAAAACTGATGCGGCATAAGCTAAAAACTTCCCAAAAACATAGAACTGAACTCAACACATTGGCAATAATTACTATCACTAAATAAATATAGCATAACATCCACGATGGTACGTAAAAAGCATCAGATCATAAACCAACATATGTAATCCACCAACCAAGCACAAATAACAGCTCACACAATTACGTATTGATGCCCTAGGTATCACTCCACTCATTTTAGCAACAAGGACATCGCAAAGCAGCCAACCGAAGGGAACGCTTGGATAACAAGAACACTGAACCAGAGCTCAATGGCCTCACCCATTGCTTTAGATCTTGTCAAGCTTCTCAGCCTTAACCACAGGGTTCGCTTTGGCAATGGCATCCCTGGCAGCTCTCTGGTAGTCGAAAGGGCAGCCATGCTTGTCCGAATAACGATGCGTAGTGCAGAAAAGATCCCCGCATCGACATTGAAACCCTGTCAGACCGACCCGTTTCCTGCATGTGCTGCACCTATTTGGACCATTTTTTGCCTTTGCTTCCCCAGAACCACTTGAGCATAGAACTTCTGGTGATTGTGAAGGAATGGCCTTTAGCTCCCCAGAGACAATTGTCACATCTGTTACAGCAGAGATTACAGGCTCCTTGCCATTACTGCTGCAGATATCACCGCCACTGCCATTCACAAGATTGTCAATGGAGGATGCTGCAAGCTTGGCCTGCTCCTGCTTCAGAATCATTTCCCTGTGGCACTTGGAGCACATATTCATGGTCGCCGCACTTCCGAAGAATCCACAGTTGTTGATGCACAGGATCGGGCCCTCGGGAGCTTGGCATCCAGTCTCATCGTGATCCATCTTCAAGTTTGCTATACCACAATGACCATCAATTATATGCCTAATTAGTCTAAACTGAAACCCTAAGATAGATCATTCAGATAAGTTCAAAAAATCCAAGTATCAGAAACCCCATTTCGTCCAACAATTTAAATACCAAGAAGAAGATTCCTGATCACGATCAAAAAAATTAAAGCCTTTATCCCATAAATCCCTAAAGAAGTCTAGTTTATTCCAAAACAACAAATTTTACATCAGGAAAGACGTACAGCGACAACATACAGAATTCAATTTGGGTAGAGTAATCAAGAATACGCATAAAAAAGATATAAACTAAAAGAAAGCCGGATGATTTCAACCCAACGATGAGCACTTTTATGCCCCCAACAACAAAAGAATGCAACTCACCTGCTCGAATCTGCTCTCAAAGGCGACTGTTTTCCCTCTCGGTCAGTAATAATAAGCTTGGACGAGCCTGGCGATTGAAAAAAGGGGAACAGAGAGCAGAGCAAAAAATTCAAATCAACCAGCCTCGGCGATCGATCATCACAAAAAAGGAACGACAGCCAGCGTGTTAAAAACCTAACCCTAACCCTAGAAACCAGAGAGCTCCTCCTCGGAACGGTGCGATCGTGGCTGGGAAGATCCAAGTTAGATATGTGCTCATCCTCTGCTATCTTATCTTATGTTCCGCACTATATTGATATGCGTGCACTGAATCCGCCGTCCACGTTTCACTTAAGGACTGCTGATGCTCGATATCGATCGCTCGTGAGAAAATGGACGGTGATCTAAGGATGTCGCCTATGAAACCATTATGAGCATACTTTGCATAAGAACAATGTCACTTGTAAATGATACCATTCTAATCCATTGGGTTGACTGTATCCATCTGTTGTTATCGTTAATTTCTATAAGAATAATAGTTTCCTTTCCCTTCCTTTTTAGACTCACTTAAATGAATCAGCACATTATATTTATTTATTTATTTATATTGATAAAAGTATATCATATAAAACTGATTTTATGAATATAAACAAAATATTGTTAGTAAAAAACATATTGTTATGGAAAATATCAAATATAAAATATAAGATAATATAATGATATTGTTTATATAAATTTAATCATGAAATGAATAAAAACCGCTTGAACATTAGCATATAAGGTTTTATGAAGCTTTAAAAAGTATATTTTGGAAACCTAAGTTACTTTATTTTAGAGGTCTTATTTAAAAATATTGGAACTCACCTTCCAATGTTTCAAAAATTCTTGATTTTCAAGAAAATTTGAAGGAATGGCTTACTAAGTCTTTAAGATAGGTTTTTTACTAATTCCATTCATTAAAAAATTAAATTTGTATCATTTTTTAATTTTATTAAATTTAAGATTAATTTATTATCAGTTTGGGTTAAAAAAAATATGTGAGTAAAGAAAAAAAATTAAGAATTGAGTTGCACTATTTTTAGGATTATGTTCAAAAATAATATAAGATACAAGGTAACTTTTATTTTTTAAAAAAATAAAATTTTAAAAAATAAAAATGTCTTACAAAGTTTGAAATGAACTATATATAATTGATTTTTGATTCAAAATAGATTGAATTTGTATGGATTTTTTAATTTTGTTCAATTTTGTTCAAAAAAGATTCAATTAATGTATTGAATTTGTATGAATATTATCAAAGAAGATTATGTTAAATACCATATTTCGATGATAAATTATTGAACTAATATACTTTTGAGATAAGTGACGTAATAAATACTTCAATCATACACTCGGACCGAGACAAATATCAAACTGAATGATTAATTGATGTGCCAAAGAATGAACTTCATGCTAAAGGTTTCGACGTCATATCGGAAAGATCAAATATTACGTCAGAAGATTGGACATCGTGATAAAGACAATATGTCGAACGAGTAAGTGATATGTCAAGAATAAGACAATATGTCAGAATGTTCAGATAAAGAACCGTACATTGGAAGACTTGTCAAAAGTTTCAATATTTTGTTGAACAAAGTTGTTGACCCAACATAAAAATATTCTATCGTCAATTTGAGTAATTTTCTAGTTGAATTAGAGTTCAAACTTACAACACCCTTTAGGCTTAAGTTTAGGTTGAAATTAAGCCAAAGGCCATACCATCAAGCTTAAGTAATGATACCATATGAGTCAACCAACGAAAAAAAAAAAAAAAAGGTATTAACAACCTTACTGGCAATAGTACAATCAATAAAGGTGGTCATATTGCCTAGGTTGACGATAGTATCGCTTGGACTCTAATATATCAATGATAATACTACTAGAGTTCAGTATTAAAACTCGTGTCAAAAGTTATGACGGTAATACCACTCAGTACTAATAATAGTACCACTTCGATCCTAAAAATTTGATAATTTAAATTTTTAACTTTATTTTTTAAGTCATTTGAAGGTTATAAATATTTTATTCGGGCTGACTGATAGAGCATATATCCTTGAGATTAAGAAGTATTATATGCTCTTATTTTGAGCATACCTTACGTCTTCTCTGCTTTAGTTTAGTTGTAATACTAAGTTATGAAGGTGAGAGATCTTTTCAAAAAAAAAAGAGTGTTAAAAGTTCTCTTCTAAGTTTTAAAAATAAAAAGGTTATAAAAGATCATTGATTTTCACTTGTTGAAAATAATATCGTGGGTGAAAATCGATAGCCTTGATTAAAAGAAAGTAGATATAGGTCAAAAAAAAAATTTAACCACAATAAAAATTAATATGCTTGTCGTTACTAATCTTTTACTTATAACTTAGTATTATTCTTTTTACTCGTAACTTTTACTCTTACTCTAATGAATCGAGTTTTTAAAATATATTTTTTATTAAAATTTAAAATATTTAAAATTACTATAACACTAATTCACCCTAGCTTACTGCTTAGGGCTATTAAGATCTTTAATAGGTTCTATTAAAAAAAAAAGATATGAGTTATAATGTTTTCCAATGTGATTATATATTTTTTTCAATCTTATTTAGAAAAGTAGTAACTTTGTTTAAAAGAGTGTAACTCACGTCTTAGTTTTTTTTTACAAAAAATTTTAAATTTCAGCAAACATTAGAAATGACTTACAAAGAGGTAAATATTTAAGTCTTAAAAATAGGTATTTTCACATAAATTACACTATCTTTACTTAATTTATTACAATTATAGCAACAACATCAAAATAAGTATTTGAGTATGAAATTAATAAATATTCTAATATTTAAACACTACTTAAGATATTTATAAAAATATCATTTTTTTTATTATTGAGTTTTTATTTACCCTTTTATGTTAATTATTTTAAATATTAGTTAGAAAATTATATTTATTGGGTTATCTTTATGATTTTATTATCATTTTATTATAATATTCAAATTATATCATTTATATTATATTTTACTTTTTACTCAATAATTTGATTTGATTTTATTATTTCATCATAATATTATATTCATAATTTTAAGATTAATATTTTATTTTTATTAATATAAATAGATAAATATTAATATTATTTAATTTTATTTAATAATATTTATTTTGGAGCAGTTTAAGTTTTGGGTTTCTAAATTGATTCAATTTAATGGGTTGATTCAAGTTAACAACAAAAGGAATGGGTTTTTAGATAATCGGCCCTATCTATACTAACGATAATATTTAGTATGAATTGTCATCCTTGAAGAAACTTTGGATGGAGGAAGAGGGCTAATTATATATTAACTTTGTAGTTAAATCTCTTCAGTATTTCGGTACTTTTATTTATAAAATTTATATTAAAATATCTATAGTTATGATACTGAAATATTTAACCTTATTTACTTTAATATTATTATTTTATTAACGAAAGATATAACAAGTGACAACACCAGTAAAAATAACATAAAAATGATGAATAAAAAGATAATTTTAATGTCCCAAGTAAGACATTTACATTGATGTCGTTTTACAATTGCATTGGTAGGAGGTGAGACAGAGGCCTTCGTCTTGCCAATATAGATGTAGAGCAATGCAATATTGGCGTAGATATAGAGGCACCAAAGGAGGAAGAGGAGGGAGAGCAACGATGAGAGGTGAGGTGAAGGGAGAGGAGGATGAGGATGATGGCTGCGTCGATGCAAATGTAGAGCGACGTCGATGTAGATATAAAGTATTGGCATCTACAGCTTCTGCTCTGCATTACCTTACATTTGCATTAGCACAAACGCAGATGCCAAACTAAGCCGATACAGATGCAGAGTATCAACATGTATTGCTTCCGCTTTGCATCATCTTGCATCTATGTTAGTACCGATACAAATATCGAGTGATGTATAACAATGAAAGAGAGAAGAAGGATGAGAGATCAGGGAAAGGGAAAAGAAGGATGAACATCGCTTTACATATGTGTCGGTATTAACGTAGATGTAGGACGATGCAAAATAGAAGCCACATATGCATAGCAGAGTGGTGTCACTTTACATTTGCATTGGTGTCACTTTATATCTGCATTGGCTTTGATGTAAATGCAGGGCGATGTAGAGTAGATGTCGATGCTCTGCGTCTGTGTCGACGCTGCTCGGCATCTGCATCGACATGGCCATTGTCCTTGTCCTCTTCCTCTTCTCCCTTTATCTCATTTCTTATCATCACTCTCCCTTCTTTTCCTCCTTCTCTTCCTCCTCATATGGCAAGAAGTTACAAAAGTCTCTCAACTCTACCTCCAAGACTTCACATAACCCATCTTCAAGGATATCCCCACATCATTCTCATCAACCATTATATTCACAACTACAACAACCACTCATGGCCTCCAATGGTGCCGCCATTCGTCACCACCATAATAGTCGACTAAGAAGAAACAAAAATATAACTAAGATGTTAAAATTAATTTTTTTACCCATGTGCTATATCTTTTGTTAGTAAAACCAACGGCGTCAGGATAAATATAGCTAAATATTTTATTTTTATAATTATAAATATTTTGATATAAAATTTTTAAATATAGGGATCGAAATATTAATGAGATCTAATTATAAGAATAATTAGTAATTAATCCAGAGTAACATGAGTCATTTATTTATATAGAAGAAACACTCTCATGTATCTTTTATCGTCTTTAATATCTCACTTTCCTTTTATTGTTATCAATACCTCGTCATATTTCCTAATTCCCTAACTACGTTGCTCGCTCCAAAGACTATAATCATCTATGCTTTGAAGTTTAACGATATATATATATATATATATATATATATATATATATATATATATAATCCGATGATATCGTTGCGGTGCTATCAAAAGTATGCGGAAAGGTGTACTGCTATCTGAAGTGTGCCACTAATGTGTTTATGTAACCGAGTAAAAGCAGCTCAATCTGTTAAAGACGCCATTTTTATCTCCAACCCATCCCTGAGTTGTTCCCCAAAACTCTCACGTTTCGCCCGTTTTCATCTCGAAAGTCCATCTTTTTGTACAAACCCTCGCATTCCGTTTCTGTTTGATCCATTTTACCTATGCTAAGCGATTGCTGCATCACCGAATCATTCGAATCTTGGGATATCTAGGGTTTTTTTTGGCTCCGATCGGGACGCGGGCGGGCATGAATAATCCGATTTTGGGCGGTCCCTTGCTCCCAGGATCTGCTGCCGGGTTCGACTCCTCCGTCAATCAGCTCCACCCCCACTTCCGCTCGATCGCCGCCGCTGCGCCGTCAACCGCCGGCCTGGACCCTGACCACCAGATAGGCTCGCTCTTCGCCCCCTCCTCTGGGACCACCGCCACTAGCGACGACGAGGACCACTTCCCGGCTCCCGCTGGCGACGAGAATGACCATGAGTCCCACTCCTTGCCCGCTTCCGAAGCCGGCGGGAGCAAAAAAGCCTCGCCTTGGCAGCGTATGAAGTGGACCGACGAGATTGTGCGGCTGCTGATCTCGGTGGTGGCATATGTTGGGGATCATGATGACGGTGCTCTGGAAACCTTTGACGGGTCGTCAGCAGCAAAAAGGAAGCACGGGGCCACGCTCCAGAAGAAGGGCAAGTGGAAGACTGTGTCGAGGTTGATGCTCGAGAAAGGTTGCTATGTCTCGCCCCAGCAGTGCGAAGACAAGTTCAATGATCTCAACAAGAGATACAAGCGTCTGAATGAGATCCTTGGACGAGGGACGACCTGTCAAGTTGTCGAGAACCCCCTCCTTCTGGATTCGATGCACCACATCTCTCCAAAGGCTAAGGACGATGTGAGGAAGATCTTGAGCTCGAAGCACCTCTTTTATCGGGAGATGTGCGCCTATCACAATGGGCAGAAGATGCTGAATTGCCATGATGTCAATTTGCAGGTCTGTCCAGTCCCAAAACTCGCCCCTCCCAGTAGTCTTATGGAGGATGAAGAGGAAGACGAGGATGAGGGCAATGACATTGGGGATCATGATGAGTGGAGCTATGAACTGGGGAAAAAGGGCTATGAGAGCTTCAGGGTTGAGATAGATGGAGTACTTCGGGACACAACAAAGTCACCATGGGAGCAGTGGGAGTGGTTTAAAAGACGTGCATTGCAGCTCGAAGAAGAGAGGGTGGATGTTGAGGCTGAGGCATTGGAACTGGAGAAGCGACACTTCAAGTGGCAGAGGTTCCGGAGCAAGAAGGATTGGGAGCTTGAGAGGTTGAGGCTGGAGAATGACAGATTGAGATTGGAGAACGAGTGCATGATATTACAGGTGAGGCAGAAGGAACTGGAACTGGATATCAGATGGTCTAGAGACCCACTGGATTCTAGTGGTCGAAGGATGGAGGGGGAGCAGGTAAGAGATCCAATGGAGTTAGTGATGTTATAGTAAGATATTGTCCTCTTTTTTAACTGTTTGTGTTAGTAGAGAGTGTTGTCTTTTTTAGTTTTGCATGTTGCCTTTTGTAGTTAGGAAGGTACTATCTGTAGGTCTTATTTCCTATAACTGCTGAAGTATGCCCGCAAACTGATTCACTTTTACTGGCTGACCATGTACTTCAATTCTTGAGGTGTAGCAAAAATCCTGTAAAAGTGAGGATCACCTGCTATATGAATTATGTACCTTTTGTTGGTTGGAGGCAGGATAATATTTTCGCATGCTAAGCACGGTGTAACCAGCATTTATATGCAAGGGACATGATATGTATAGCTTAATCATCTGTCGGATATAATTATCATATTGTACTTATTTTAAAATGTAGCCTGACTTAAATAAAATTCTGATATAAAATCTGCTCTTTGTTCTACCTGCTTAGATTTTTGCTTTTTGATAAGAACTGATTTGATTAAACAGCTGGTGATTGTTGTTTTAGTTGCTTTGTTCTGAGCCTTGAATTGAATTGCTAAGTACAGACGCATCCAACACAGCACCCATGTTTTTGACCACACCAATAACTAGTATGTTAGTTCCTTTGTCACTGGAATTGGATCATTTTGAATAACAAGTGAGAAACGAAACAGCTGCTCTCAGTCTTTCTGAGTACATTCAAATATATTTGTTTCATGGATCAGACAAGATGCAGTTTAGTGAAACTTGTGGCAGTGAGTCATTGTAACAGACCTAAAATTGGTAAGTCAATTCTTTCACTCAAAATGCTTCTCTTAATGCAAAGATAATGTGGTGTCACTATATATAACTTTACTAGGTCTGAGTGAAATGAATTGCTGTGATACTCTCTAAGCAGCAGCAGCAACAGGTCTCCTAATATTTAGGTTTCCTGTATACATTCTCTAAACCTTTCAGTTTCCACAAAGTAGCATGTTGCTTTTTCAAATTGGGTTGTTCAAGCTGAGAAAATAATGGAATTCTAGAGCTTGTTTAATGCCAGTGAAAACATTGGTGGCAACTCAGAAGCTAAAGAAGATGGTGTTGGATATGGTGCTTTTTAATTGTTGAGTTTAGATTTTTTGTAAGACCAAGTAGTTGGTGTTTTGGAAAGCTTGCAAAATTTTAAATTTTCCGGCAATTGCCTAGTTTTTGTTATCTACTTATCAATTGAAAGGTGGAAAAGGAACAATTGTCCTTTTCAATGATTGGAGGCTCCAGAATCCCAGCGGTTATACTTTTTGAGAGCAAATAAGAATGACTGTGACCTAGCTGAAGAACCAGTTTGTACTAAATTAACTCTTGAATTAAATGGATTATCTAAATAGCAGAAGTTTATGGTTTGTCATTTAAGTCTAAAATAATGTACAAAGGCACAATTATGCATAACTATTTGGAAATCATATATATGTACATATTACAGGTTGCTTCAATTGTTTGAATCACACAGCTTCTGTTAGACCCTCACACTAATAATTTAGTTCTTCTCATGGATGACTGTGACGAGGATCTATAAGCAATACTGTTTGTAGGTTGGCTACAGGATTTGTAGTAACTTAAGTGGAAACAAGGGATTATTTCTTCCTGTAAGCCTTACTAGACATGAACATTTCTTTTTTGGCTGCTTGACCATTCAATTTATGATGTGGCACAAGGTTTGTCAACAGAATTAAACAGTACTTGTGGCATTTCTCTTTTCTGGTTGGCTCATGTAGGATTAGCAAGTAGTTTGAAAGATTCATTTACTGTCAGCGTGATTAGGTGAGCTTTTTCTCCACATGCTGCATCATTTAGTAGCAAAAGTGACTGCTTCTAGTTTTCCCCCCCAAGATCATCAACCCAATTTGCTGCAGAATAATTTTCATATTAGTGGACTCAAATTATATAGATAACTTCCACTCTAGCAACTTGCTGATGATCCACTTGATTTTATTATAGCTCATTCTGTGGATTGGTTCAGTGCTGTGTGATTTATTGATTTACACTCCTTATTGATTTACACTCAAAGAACCTTCTTGCATTGCATCTTGATATAGAAATTTCACTTGTTAGACATGTTTATTTTGTTTCAGTTACGATGTCAAAGCTTCTCTTCAAACAGAGGCCTTGTTTCTAGAATTTTTCTTTGATAAAAAATTAACCAAAATTTAGCATTGTTGTTCCTCTTTGTAATCCTAGTTTAGTCATGTTTATCATAATCGAGATTTCTGATTGTATTTAAGTTTCTTATGGGGAAACCAAAGTGGACAAAAGTTGTGTCAAACGTTTCTATGCACTGTTTCGCTTAATCGTCAATATATTTATTATGTTCCTTCACTTTTATACACGAACGGTATAGCTCATGATGCTTGGTTAGGTATGAGGCATGGATTAGTGAGATGGACACTTATTTCTACGGCCATGGGTACTCATGTTAGCATATCAATGACATTGTTCTGTGCACCACGTTGTTGCACACGTATTGTCCGAGGAAGCTTGCACTTTCCTCTACATGCAAATGCAGTTTGGAAACACGTTTCTGAGCTTGAAATTTAAATCAATTAGCTTGAGAAACTTGGTACAACAGCAATAGCAAAAGATATGAGGAAGTGGAAGTTGCCAGGATGACAAAACATTTTGTATCTTCACATTTGTGTGGAATGAGTAGTGATTTGGTTATGAGTGATTGAGATGACAAAAATTTTTGTATCTTCACATTTGTGTTGGAATGAATGGTGATTTGGTTATGAGTGATTGAATTGAATATGTATTATCCTCCAAACCTCTGGCTCAGGTGTTTGATGTTTGAAAAGATGGTGATTGAATTGTGAGTCATCCTCGTTCTACAATGTTAATCTCTATTCTGAAGGTTCTTTGTGAAGCTCTTGCATTCTCCACAAATCAGGTGAATTTTCTTTTGAATCGGCATGTAATTGAAGGTGTGCTTCTGACAATGAGGTGATTTGGAACAATCTATTCTTGCCTGCTACGTATCAATAGATTAAACAGGAGATTACTACAAATTTTCTATGCTTGTATTGCAGAATGGTTTACTGATAGTACTCAGCACCACTTTGAATGTCCCTTTTTGGGAGAAGTGCGGGGATCATAATTGTTAGATGTATCATTTCTCATCCTTTTCAGGTTTGGTCTCATGAGTTTTTAATGATTAATTCAATATTATTCTAAGAAAAATCTCATTTGAAAGTGTTTTCTTATTGTAACTTTTATTCCTTATGGCCTGAAATCATATGGATATGGAGATTATGAAATATTTCCATATATGTAGGAAATTATAGAATATCAATGCCAAGATAGAGGATAATGCTAAAAATAAGGTTGTTCTTGAAAATTAGGCAATTTTCCCAACATTGAAGTTGATGATGATTGGCTCTGTTCTTCTTTTGTCGGATTGGGATGCATTCGTAGAGATTAACCGAACCCATAAATGAATTGCTGAATAATAAATGGCTACAAACATATTCGTATAAACGATATACGAATAAGAACGGTGCATCTGATCGGATTTTTAGATTTGATCAGATCCTGATTCGAGTCAACTGTTGTGATCAGATCGCTCAATGATTTGATCATATCATTGGTTCGAGCCACCTGATTTGATCAAATCTAATGAAAACATAACCCTTTCCACCCCCCACCCGCCGCTCGGCGCCGTCTTGGCAGGAAAACCTAATCTTCCCAGCTTTCCTCCTCCCGATCGCGTGCAAGGCGGCCGACGATCGACGACCGGCATTCGTGCGCGAGGTGGCATTCTCTCCGACGGTGCCTCCCTTCTCGCGGACGGCGGTACGTCCCTTTCTTTTGACGCCCTCGCTATCTTCCTGTCTCTCCCAACGGTTCTGCCGCCCTCTCTCTGTTCCGGCGGTGGTTCAAGGCCCCGTTCTCTCTTTCTCTCTCTCTCTGCTGGATCTTTACCTCCCGACGCCCCACCTCCTCCTCCCTTTCTCTCTCTCTCTCCTTATCGCCCTTCCGGCATTCCCCCCACTCCCCGGCGGTACTCGCTCACTCTCTCGCCGTAGCCACCTTCTCGCCCCTTCGCTCTCCCTCTTTTTCCCTCTTGTTCTCCTCCTCCTCCTGGCGATACCCGGCAACCACCTCGTCCCCCTCACCCAATTCCCCTGCTCTCAGTCCCCAACCGGTCTCCTCTGTCTCCCCCAATTCCCCTGCCTTTCCCTATTCTCAGCTGATCTCGTCCTATGCCTTCCTCTGCTTTCAGTCACCCCTCTTGTGTATTTTTTATTTTAATGATTGTATTTATCCTTAATTATATATTTTTTGTAATTTTTATATTGCCTAGTGCCTCGCTTCACTGAAGTCCGCCTAGCGCCTTGGGTGTTTGAGAACTTTGGTGCTTTTAGCTCTTATTGATTTTGACAACACTTTAACTAATGGAACTACTTGTGGACGGCAGTTTATGTTGAGCAATCTATGAATATATGACACGATTAGTTACCTCATAAACACACTATGTTCTAATAACTTGGTGCACTTTTAAAAAAGGGTATCCTATTGAACTTCCCACATCATTAATTTTCATGCTCAGATTTATAAGCAGTATATGTTCTTTAAAGTTGACCTTTTAATTAATAATTCACCACGTTACTCTTTAGCTTCGCCGTTTTTAATATGTTGGCACATTCTAACAATTGTCTATTTGCAGCTCATTTGACCTCAGAATGAGGCTATCCTTTCAAAGTTCATTCGAGAAACTTGATGTGGTGCTTATAGTATGATTTCCATGCTTTACTTTGTAGTAGAAAGCATGGGCTCATTCTGCAGTAGACAACAACCATTGAATGAGGTTGATTCTGACGAGAACAAACAAGTAATTTCCCATCTACTTCTTATATTCAAAAACTTAAGTCTGATGGAAATCTTAACCTCCAATAGCTTGCTGTAATATCAATTTATGTCATGGAGGTTATGTTCTCAATTTGTTTCTTCTCTACTTTGCTTATTTCAGGCTGCAAAAATTGATAGCCGGATTGCTGAAGAAACAAAGGCTGAACAGCATATCCATAAGCTTTTGCTTCTTGGTATGATTAAAAATATATATGAATATCTTAATACATAATATAATGCCATTAATTCCCCATTGACAATTGAACTAAGTAAATGGCAACACAAGATCTAAGTGTTGGTTGTGATCTTTTGTCTTTTCAGTTGTGGTTCATGTCCTTATTCTTATTACATGCATCAGCAATGACAAAAAAAAGAGTTCTATCAGCTGGTAGACTTTTACCGATACCAGACCTTTACTAATTGTAATTATTTCAGTTTACCTGTGACACATTGTTTGTGTACTAATATGGTCCCAGGTAATCGTTGAGAAATAAGATTTCATAATGCGGAAAAATATGATAGTCTCTAGCAAATTACCTGAAACATACTGTGTTTTTGAATAGAAAACAGAAGAAAACACCTGATTTGCATTAATCGTTTGGGCTAATCTTGACCATTTGCAACAACCATTTAGGGTCAGCTACATGAATTTTCATGTCATTGATGTTTTGCAATCTCAATGACCAAGTCTCCATCAAACCTTGATTGTCTCACATATTGGGAATTTGATTAAATATTGATTGATATATGAAAAAGATTCTAGTATAATATATAGGAAATTTGTGATTTTAGTTTTGGATTTCTCAACTTATTTATCGGGGTACTTCTTGTCATAAGAAGTAATAGATTGTAACTTGGGATCATACTTTCATATGGTGGACACTATGGCTCAGTATTAATGGTCTTGAGTTACATCTGGAGGGATGCGATTGGAACTGAACTACTTTGCAATTGTCTTCCCTATATTAATCGTCTCTTTAGTGTTAGCGTCGAAGACAAATGTGGATAGATCTATACAATTCTAGACTAGAGATCAAGTTTAAATCTGCATGGTTCTCAGTTAAATCCCGGAGGTATATTGGTTGAAACCATATGGATCTTTACTGGGTTTACGTAAATATATATCAATATGAGGATATCTAACATAGAATCAGATAAATCCATGCTAGATGCACATAGATCCGACTTCATCTTGTCAAGAAATTAGATGAGGAAAAATTTGTAAATCAACAACTAATGCTAAAAATGAAATCATGAGCTTAAGATGAAAATAATTACAAGAAGAGAGCTCCGATCAATAAAAAGGAGAAAGAAGGGAGAAGTAGGGAGGAGGAAGGAAGAAAAAGGGAGAAGGAAGAACGAATAAGGAAAAAGGAGGAAGGAGAAGGAGAAGGTGGTGGAGGAAGAGGAGTAGAAGAAGAAGAGGTGAAGAGAAATACTAGAGATGAGGTGAGCGACAATGTGGAGAGGAAGTATGCACAACGACAACCACACTATAGTGCAAAGAGGGGGCTCGTGATTCCTCACGAGCCCTAAAAGCATCCGACTTGGTTCCTTGTTAAAGAGAAAAAAATCGAGTCCTGAAGTCTGGTTTGGTTGGAGTCTTTCTAAAAGAAGAAAAAAAAGAATCCACACCTACATCTTAAGAAAAGAGAAAAATGGGATCAATCAGTTAGAAAGAGGGTAGTCTACATCTATAAATCATTACAAATGAAACCAGGCCAAATTGAATTTGTTGGCTTCCACCACCATTAATTGCTGATGGTACAGCCACTACCAGCGCCAACGCCTGATCCACGGCATTTGTACCCCTCCTTGTGGGTTGTAGCCTTGTCAATGCCTCCCTCTTATCCATTGCTTTGCACAATTTTGATTGTTCTGCTCATCAATGTAATGTGGGAATCCTTGCTTCTCCATGGCTCCCCTCCCATATAATATTGACCCCTAACATCCCAAGACATGATATGGCTCAATATTGTGACAGTTCAGTTGACAACAAACTGTGGTACCAATTATCAAATCAAAATTTTAATTCTTGTCTTGTATTATTCGATAGTACAACTTTACCTTATAATAGGATTTTAATGACTTCTTAAAATGGCCATTAAAAATACACTGAAAACTCAATTAAAATCACTAAAAGAATAGAAAAATATATCAGGCTAGGCAGCTTGTATTACCTTTCCTAATTCTCATAGGAAAGGCATAGGGATGATGGTTATGTAAGACTTTCTTTCCTAGCTGAGGAGCAGTTAGCCTAAATGTCTCTTTTACTCCTTTATTTTTCCTAGTGTTGAGATATTGACTCCCTTTTAAGGCTGGATCAGTTGAGCAGCTTTTGGTTCCTTTCTGCTAAATTGCATAGGATTACTCTTCAAGCTGGACTGCTGTTAGAATAAGACAATTGAGCTGCCACAAACTGAAATATGTTAAACTAATGTAAATTTGGAGCTATAAAATATTGCAGTAGTTTGCCATGTTTGGCAGCAGGCTGCCCCAAGTGGGTTGACCATTATTTAGACTCTTTTGATGGTTGGAAGGGCAGTTTTATGACTGATTAGGCCCTTGTTATGCCCTGGGCTGGCTTTATGAAGGTAAATTAAACTTTTGTGTATAGTCTGTTTCATTAGGGATCATAGATGTTCAGAAGATATATGTTAAGAGGATCAGGCTTCGAAAACATGTCATCCATATCCTATAAACCTAATGAGTTATCAATGTGACATTATTTTGATATGTGGTACATTGATCTATCTAGACTGTTGAGATATAAAGCTTGTCCTTCTAAGGTCAAATTTCTTTTGTGATTAAAGATCATAATTTTCTTTGAATAATTACAGTGTCAAATGAGACTGGTAGATGTAAAGTATCTAAAGATTCCCAATATGGGATCAGGTGGTATGATCCTTTAATCGGACATAAATATCAGGTTATAGATTCTTCAGCCTATTCATATTGAGAAATTTATGCTTAATACAACATGGTCATTTACAAGGTAACTGACACATTACTATGATACCTTTACCTGTTGCCTATTTGTAGAATTTCATTCTGATTAAAGTTCATCAGAGCTGATGAAAGAGTGTCCTGATGGACTGAATGTTGGAATCTCGTACTTTATGCATTCAGCTCTTGAAGCACAATTTAGACAACCTGTTATCTTCTTGTTTTATGCATTGTGCTAATAAAAATAATTGATAACCTGCGTTGGATTTGTGTTGCCAGTGATAGATACCATGTTAATCAACTATGCTGTTCAAAATTGGCACAGTTATATGGGATAATATTATATATTTCTGTCTTTTTTCAATCTTCCAATATATTAAATGCTTTGGGTTGCATCTCCTATTTGACAAATCTAAAGTCCTTTTTCTTAAGTTGAATCATCGTAATCTTCCTTCTAATCACTTCATGTAAAGCACCAGGAGACACAGCATCTTTGCCTATCCCTTCTTTGGAGATTTTCCTAGCTTGTCTTAGTTCTTAGGTTACCTTGGCACCCAGGTTTGTGAGGTTGCAGTATCTTCATGCTCTGTCATAGAATTAAGGATTGAGATCAATCCTGCTCGATCTCCTTGAATCAAAAGATCCGGATTTTTTGTCTGCCATACTGGTTGGATCAGCGAACTGAAACCAATTTCTGACTGACTCTAGCCAACCATCGGCAATCCGTTGATAAATTGGGGATCGTGAAGGTTGGTTGATTGTGCAGACTGCAGACCTTTGTGATACTTAAATTTTTACCGTGTTCTTAACTGGTTAGCTTATTCTAGCTGTTAAATTGGGATTTTTTTTTAATTCGATGACTTCAAGTTCATTTCCATTTCGTACAGCTTTTTGCCATTTGAAAGCAGCAGCTGTTGGTATATAATTGGATCAGAGAAGTTAAATGAAACCAACTTAAGTTTTATCATCTTTTATTTTTTTTCTCTGCCCAAAATAACATTTCCTTTTTTCTCTGCACATTAACTTTTACCTCTTAACATTATGTTATATTCTTTTTGTCTTGTTTTTAATTTTGTTTCTCTTTTTGAACTAAAGGTGCTGGAGAGTCAGGAAAGTCTACAATTTTTAAGCAGGTCGGATTACAAATTTCTTCTTTCTTTTCGCTGAGTTGCAGTGAGACATATGTTTCTTGGGCTTGATTGTTATACAGATAAGGCTTCTCTTCCAAACTGGGTTTGATGAGGCGGAGCTAAGAAGTTATACATCAGTTATCCATGCTAACGTGTATCAGACAATTAAAGTACGCACTACTATAAAGGGTGTGTTTGTTTTTTTCTCTTATGTGAAGAGTGAAGAGTTTGGCCTTATATAAGTTTTGGACTCAAAATTTCTGTTGCATGATTATATGTATTATTCCATGCTCTAAATTGGTTGGCTCTAAACAGATATTGTACGACGGAGCAAAAGAATTGGCAGAAAATGAGCCAAATTCTTTGAAGTATGTCGTACGCGCTGATAATAAGGTTTGCTTATGCCTTCTTTTGCTAGTGTCTTTAACATTGAATTTATAGAAATAGGAATGTATTCTGCATAATTAATTATTTCAGTTTTTGCTACTTGTGAAGCCTTGTGTAAGGAGCTTATACTTGGAAACACATTCTTATAGTTTATTTTGGATCTTTAACTTGTAATCTAACTTTACTTTTTATGATGTATAACATAGACTAAGTAGTTGTTGTTAGTCAATCAGGACATTTCATAGAAGTTTTGATTCTATATAATTTTAACAATATGCTAACTTTTCTGTGCCATGAATTCAGATTTTAAAGATTTATTGTAATAAGCTCTGAGATATCACAGACTAACTAGGCAAAAGTTTGCCCGCGAAAAATTTTCTGCTGAACTTTTTCAGTTTGAGACAAGTCCTATTTACTTTATGCAGTTGAATAAGTTTCTTATTATTCATTTTAATGGATATGCTTACTTACATGTATATCCGTTTAGTTGGGACTTGAGGCTTTATTGTTATTCGTTGTCATTTTTGTGCCTTCTTTGAGCTAATAAAATGAAAATTCTATATGAAATAGGCACATGGCCTTTACTTTGAAACTGTAAGCCTTTTTATTTTTGTGTATGTTTTGTTGATTTTCCCACAAAGATGCCAAATATAGCTTCCATAGTTATATTTTTCTCTTTGCTGTGCTCTGAACATGGACAACACATCTAGTTAATTAATTTCTTGATTATCAAGCTTATACACTGATAGTAGCATTTATATGTGATAATGTGCTCCTTTTGATGTCAGGAGATTGGTGAAAAATTGTCAGAAATTGGAAGCAGGATGGACTCTCCTTGCCTTACTAAAGAAATTGCAAAAGAGATTGTGACTTTATGGAATGACACTGCTATTCAGGTTGATATTTTTATGACTAATGAATTTCTAAGATTCTCATTTATCGTGGTCCTTTGGTGCATCTTTGATGGTTTAAATCACTTGCAGGAAACTTATTCTCATGGGAACATATTACAAGTCCCAGATTGTGCTCAGTATTTTATGGAGAATCTAGAACGATTTTCTGAAGTAAATTATATTCCAACAAAGGTAATATTTTGAACCATTTCTTTCTTTTACCCACTCCATTGTGCTTCATGGAAACGAGACTCTTTCTATGCTTCAATTAACATTGCTGAAACTGTTCAAGCATTTTTTTAAATATAAGGTCAATCTTCTAGTACAGACACATTATAACTCTAAATTGACAATATTTTATTTTTCGTTTTTTCCTTTGCCTACTATCCAATTTGACTACTGGGAGTGAGGTGAAAGCAAGTTTTGTATTTTGAAGTAATGGGTAAAGAGCAATTTAAAGTTGTTTGATTCTTTACTCTCGTAATTCAAGTTTGGTGATCTGAAGGGAATTAACCTAGAAACTAGTTTTAATTTTTTGTGATGTTCTAAGTTGTACAAAAGTTAATTCATTTCTGTATTGAACCTATGTGGCAAGTACTGGCAGAACTTCAGGATTATCAGGAACAATGGAAAAATGATGTCTATTCCACATATTGTAGTTACTTATGGGAAATTATAACATGTAGTGTTGAATAAGGACTTGGAGATGGTTGCAACTCACTTCGATTATGTTTTATGATGAGAAAATCATATTTGATGATCATCATTTTTGAGTTCATTTTTTTGGATTTCTGTTTGTTCCTTTTATTTTTTAGACCTTGTTTTAGCTTTCATCCTGGATAACCAACTAATTTTGTCTTTTCTTAGTGTTCTTGAAGAGTAAGTTTGCTTTTAGATGTATCTGTGCCACAAAAGTTTCAATGAACTTTTGAACTGTATACTCTATATTTGCCCGAACTTTTCGGTTCTCTTATGATATCAACTCTTAATACTGCAGGAAGATGTTCTTCATGCCAGAGTACGAACTACTGGTGTTGTAGAGATCCAATTCAGGTCACCTTTATCTAACTGCTTTCTTTGAGATTCATCTTTATTAGTTGATTATCTTTGTCACTCTTCTTTTAGTCTGGTCAGACTTGGTGATGTTAATGCGTGAGGAGGATATTGAACTTTACTTTGATAAATGTCTTATTCAATCTTGGTCTGGTATTTGTGCCCAAAGTGTTGCACACATTTTTCTTTCAATATCAAAAATGAAAACCCAACTTGAATCCACAATTGGTTTGCTATTTGTGTGCGCATTTGTCTATTTCCATATCTTTCTTGTATAATCTGTATTGTGAAATAAGTCAACCTTATTGTTTAAATCAACTTGTAAAACCAAGTTAAGTTGGCATTTGGATGAGTTTAGGGTGAGTCAAGTTTTGAGTCAGTTTGTGCCTTTAAATAATAGGGTCTTGTTGTTCAATCCATTGAAAAACCTTATTCTCAGATTTGGAATTGTGATTATGTAATTTAGATGGCTATGAAATGACATCTAACATGAACTCGTTATTGGAGCAATAAATTAACTTTTTATCCATTTATACCAGGCTTTTTTAATTGAAAAGTGTCCAAAGTTAAATGACAACATTTTGGCTACTGAATTGTTATTCTGTATGTCATTGTAGCACAAACTAGAAATAATATTCTTTTATAAAGTGCAGAAAATTGAACCAGTAGCATTTGCGTTTAGTTGGTTTGAGGACTGAAGTATGTTTTGTTGTTTCCAATACTAGATAGGGGAAGGATCATGGTAGGACAGTTCTATATTAAAGCATAGCACAGATAGCCACAGATCATCTTCCCTTGGTCTCTTTTACTTTTCTGACTGAAGGATTCTATTCTTCTGTCATATCAATCCAATTGCTTATTGTTGCTATGGTCATTCAAGGCAACTCGTTTTTATATGGTCAAACCTGATTAAAAGGACACACACTAGAAAAATTTTATGCTTGTTTTCTATAATGTTAAATATTGTGCAAGTGACATCTTACTCCTGTCTTTTATTCTGCAGTCCCGTAGGTGAGAGCAGAAAAAGTGGTGAAGTTTACAGGCTTTATGATGTAGGAGGCCAGAGAAATGAGAGAAGAAAATGGATCCATCTATTTGAAGGTGTCACTTCTGTGATTTTCTGTGCTGCAATTAGCGAGTAAGGTTACGATTTTCTGGTGTACTCCAAATTCTTCAAAAATGTGTTTTTTTATTTTCCTTAAAGATATATGGTTCCTGCTCACTGTAAAACCCTTTATCTTAATTGTGGGGCACCACTTTTTACTTAACATCCATGTTATCTAGGACTTATGTTGCAACACGAAATCATGTCCTCTGATATGACTTATCATAAAAGGATGTTAGATTGTGATATAGGCCAAAATACCAGACAAGAACTCTGATATGACTGATGCAGGATAGAAGGTGGGAGAAGAATTCTGTTGGAGATTAGGCTGTTGGTAATCTCATTTTGAAGTTTACAGTTCAGATCTGTATATTAGCAAATCTCAGTTGATTTAAGAAAATGTCCAAAAAACAATTGATGTGGATTTGAAAATTGATGTTATAATATTTAGCATGTGGGTAGTGCAACACATGGAAACAAGTCTAAATGGCCTGCTGGAATTTATGCAGCACATTATGTTGGTGCTTGGATAGAAGTTAAAGTTGAAACATATATAAACTAGGCAGCAGTAGGTTACTGCAATTTTCTGCTGCAAATACTGTAACAATTGAGTGAAGGAACAAGGACAACAAAGAGGAGCATGAAGCAGTTAATGAGGTTTGCATGGAAGGGATTTGCAAGAATGACAAAACTAAATGCTAAGAAGATAAATCATTAAGATAAGCATGAGGTTTGGATGGTTCTAACTTTGTTCCTAGGTATAACTCATACCGTATGAAGCTTGGACACTTAAATGCTTGCCATGTCCATATCATGTTTGTGTTGGACTTTGACACCGATGCATTCACGAATGCCAATATGATGCCTTTGTACTACTTGATCATGTCTTTTGATACCCAACTGATGCAAGTATGACTATGATACCAAATTGATGTAAGCACAACATTATAAAGAGAGAAAATACGAGGAAGGTAGAAGATCATAGTGAAGTTGGGAGTTAGAAGCTGAACAAATATCTTAAGTGGAGGATAATCATGACTATTAAATCATTAAGTGATTGAAGGGTGATATTGATAGAAGATCACGTTACGAACGATGGATGCTAGAAGCCAGATGAAATTCTTAAGCAAGGAAAAGGATAATCAACGTTCACTATATTATGATATGTTTATTAGACTCCTTTTATAGATTTTAGAGATACCTATTTACAGAAGGTATATGGTATGGAAAAATGCATAATTTCTTTTGTGATCTTAATCTGTTCCTTATTTATCTCACTGTTGAAAATTTCTTTTTCTTTTGTTATATCAAGGCTGATACAGTAGAGATCTGTACAGCAGCTGGCTATTTGTCTAGAATTTTTTCACTTTGATCTCACTTTGAATTTCTTAGCAATCTAGAGTCTGCTATCTTTTTATTTGCTGATTTTTTTCCCTGCACATCTGATTCAAATGACTGTAAATGGGCATCTGATAGCAAGACAAGATTGTCATCTGATATTTTATTTTAGAATATAATTGTTCCAAATTCTTCTTCCAAGTTCAAACTTCAGATGGTATATGGCACTCCCAATAAAAATCTTTATCAGATGAAAACTCTAGAAGGCAATACACCTACTAGAAACCTACTAGTCTTGGATACAACACAACAAGCATAATGTCTCAACTATTTGGGGTCAGCTACATGCAACTCTTCCCACCATTGAGCTTTGTTTAAGATTTCAAGTTCTGACAATTTCATATTGACTGTTAGTTGCCTAGCACAACATTTCATCTTTTTCATCCTGGCTCAGATCCAGCAGTCACTGTTACTTAAACTTCTAGTACCCAACTCAAATAAGGCATTCAAACTAATAACTAAATTTGACTCAAAGACTCAAGATAAATATACATTTAAACTCAAGACTGACTTGAAATGGCACCTGAGCTAAACAAAAGTTGACCCAAATTAAACCTAAATTTATAGAGATTTGAACCAAGTTCAACCGGTCCAATTCATGGTTTCTGGAAGCCTGACGAAAAGTAGAAAAATCACTATGAGAATAACAGAAAATAGTAAAATTAAGGCTTTTGCATGCTAATTGATCATCTTTATGATCAGTCTAGAGACTCTAGACTTAATCTCAAAATCTTTGATGAACTTCCCAACGTGTCAGGTGCTTCAGTGTATTTAGATTGCATTTATATTAATGTATGCTTGTAGGACAACTTTATCATCTTTATAATGCTTCAAGATATGTCAAAAAAGTAGCATTATGTGTGTAATTTGGACTGCTGACTTTAACATTCTGTATACAAATGTTTGCTAATTATATGGATGATTATTATCTATCTTATACATTTCATATATGATTGTTGTAGAACATCTGTTGTATAACACCCAAATCTTGATGGTCTTATATTCCCATTGTAACATCAAGCCTTTTTTTATGGAATAACATCAACAAACCAAACCTCCATGCATTCTTTCTATTACGTTAAAATATTTTTGTCTCCATGTACTTAAATGACCCATAGCAGCAGAAATTCTCAATATTAATAGAATTGGAATCCTTATTGCCACTAGCAATGGAAATGTCCACCAATGCAAGCTCAGAGCCAACCTTATCCTTCTGGTCTAGTTCAGTTGATATTTCTTGTGTTGTTATTACTTCAGCAAAAATGGCCAAAACTGCTCACATACATTCAAACTAAAAAAAGTTTTGTTATTGCATCGTGCTGTGAACTCTCATTATTTGTTTCTCCATGTTCTTTTCATGAAAATGTCTATGCTGGAATTCCTGTGCACAGTTATAATTGCCACTCTTCTGCTTTGAATAATTTACACTATGACTTGCTGCCTTTCATGAGTTTGGCATGTCATCATTGTTAGATCTTTCCATCTTGGTACTTGTTAACTTTGCACACCTTTGAGTGCTTTGGTTGTCATGCTTTTTGTTTAAATGCAGAAACGCAAACCAAGTGCATATGAAAATTAATAATCTCTTGCAGGTACGATCAAATGCTTTTTGAGGATGACACAAAAAATCGGATGATGGAGACCAAAGAACTATTTGAGTGGGTCCTAAAACAATCCTGCTTTGAGGTCTACATGAAGCTTTTTGATAATCTTGTTTTTGAATGTTGTAGAGTTGACTTGGATTGTTTTCTTTCTAAATAACTATCTACCTTGAGCAGAAGTCATCATTTATGCTGTTTCTGAATAAGTTTGATATCTTTGAAAAGAAGGTTCATAGAGTAAGAATTTCCTTCTTCTGACAGATCAATTAGGTATTGTTACTTGGTTATCTTCTGATATGCTTACTTTTGCAGGTCCCCTTGAATGTATGTGAGTGGTTTAAGGATTATCAGCCCATGGGATCTGGGAAGCAAGAGGTGGAACATGCATATGAGTAAGCGAATTCTGCCACTAGCACTGTTACTCTACTAGCTGATACCATATCAAAAGTTAAATCATGCTTGTGAGTGATTGTTTTAAACAATGTCAAGTGATGCGTTATTGCAGAATCTTTTTGATACTATTAATATATACAATTTTTAATTTGTATTTTGAGGCTTATCATTTTCAAAATTCAAACTACATATTTATTAGGAATTTATGTTGGTTCTTAACTGTGCCAAGACTCATGAGCATGGATCTTGATTGTATGGATTATAGGACTAGGTTGTCAGCTAGAAGTTATGTGATTCATAGGGTTATCATTGCTTCACAAATCTGTGTAACACTTCATCACACACCTGCACAAAAGAAGTAATCCAAATTGACTGCATACAAGGGCATGGTGCCTTGGCTATTCACACTTGCACACAAGTTGTTGGACATAGGGGAGACACAGAGATTTTGTTGTGATTAATGAAAGCAGTTTTACAAGGATCTCAATAGCAGGGAAAGGACAATTGTCTATCAAAAACTTTTCACAAGAGCAAAAATACTTGGCTTAACACTCAATTCCTACCTCCTAGTTATGATATTGGAGGGTTTCCCCCTTTTGTCACCTAGAAGTTTCACCCTTATATGGTTGACATTTTAATTCGATAATTACATTCATGTCCATGTCAGTTTTCAGTCCATGGCAAGGAAAAAAATTGCTGTCATAGCTTAATAAAACATCCTGTTGCAACACCATATAATCTAATGTCCACATGGCTTGATTCACAATGACGTTATGTGGCCTCATTTTCTATCAATTGCACGATTCATCTTCTTATAAAGCCTCCACATACATCAAACTGTTATGATCCTTCATTTACTTTTGATTCAGCCTAGACTGCAGTTTAGACTGCTCCTCTTGATCTTATAATGGTTGCAGCAGACACATTGCTTCGATGTGAGGTCTTTGCGATGACTCATCATCATTGCTTGACTCCAAGTCGTTTTCACCTTTAGTAGAGTTGGTCTTTTGAAAAAATGCCATCATAACAGTGTTTGCTTCTTAGGGCAATTCCCCTTCAACCTTCGCCAATAGGAAGTTGTCCTCGGACTTCCCTCTGAGTCCGCACAAGTGTTGATTATAGAGTGGCCATGTGGCAATGTCCTCATGCTAAATTTCCACCACAATTTGACATCTCCAAAGAGGTACATGGTTGTTGTTAACACCTTAGTCTTTGAGTTGGCTTCGTTTCTTGAAAATACAGCTCCATGCCAAACAAAAAGTTCTCTAGCTTCTTTTCATTCCAACCTCTTCATTAGCCCTATGACTCATATGCCTTGATGAGTTGAAGATGGCCATGGGTGGTGGCTTTATCGTGTGGAGCTTTCTTGTAAACAAGGACAGCCTCAGTGTCAACTTTGTTATCTACTCCTATGAAGTGCTACTTGTATCTGATGCAAAACAGGCCATTGTTCTTGAATTATTTTAAACCAATGTAGGTTTCAAGGATTTTAATTTCGAATAATACTGCCTGTACCGGGTGGTACGTATTGGTCCGCTAGCAGATTGGTACACGGACCGATCGCTACCGGGTGGTACCGTCGATTGGGACTGTTTTCGCCCCGTTACCATCCTAAATCGGGTGTCATTGCCTGCTACCGAGTGGTATTAGTCGAGAGAGAAGAAAGAAGAGGGAGAAGAAGAAAAGAACCTGGAGATCCGGTGCCGCTCTCCCTTGTCTGAGGAGATGAGGCTTCGGCATCACCTCGTTGCCCTTTTTTGTGCGGGGAGAACGAAACGGTTTTTTCTCCCCACCTCCCTACGCGGGCGGAAAAGAGGTGACGTCGCCTCGTTTTTCTGCTCGTGTGGGGAGAAGAAATCGGGGTTTCTTCTCCCCATGCACCAAAAAGGGCGACGAGGCAATCGCCCCTCTTTTTTTTTTACTCATATATATATATATATATATATATATATATATATATACAGTACCGTATTGTATCGAGGGAATCTCGAAACTTTGGTACGGGACAAAATTTCAATCCTTGATAGGTATAAAAGATAGTCTAAAACAGGATTAGGATCACAACATGGACTAGAGAAACACTTTTAAGAAATTTATTAGAAACCGTACATATGACACTTAGAAGAAAAATTAACATACAGGAGACTAAGTTGTAGGAAAGGCCTATAGAAGTTGATATTACTAGATATAAAATTTGGTATACCATGACATTTAAATATAGAAATGGTATATACATTTTTGAAGATTAGAATCTCATGGGCAATGTTGTTGAGTTGAAGAAAATTAAGGGTAAAATTATAGGATTAAAAGTTTTATAAGGAGGTTTTGAATGTTATAAATGTTTATGCTTCTTAAATTGGACCAGAAAATTAAATCAAAAGAGAATTCTAAGAAAATTTAGATGAAACTATTCACCTCTTACTAAAAAAACGTACCATTGAAAGATTTGAATGGTCATTAGAGGAGTTTGCAAGGTGAACTTCAGGAGAACATAAGGGCTTGGATATGGAAGAGGAATGAGTAGGGTGATAATATTTCAGATTTTTTTATATATTATGACCAGGGTTCTCAATTTTGATGTGTACTACCCGATACGGGTGGTACATACCTGTCCGAGAGGATATTGGTATGCAAACCGCCCTCTACCGGACGGTACCAGTGTTTTGATTGGTACCGAGGCATACCAATCGATACCGAGATGTACGGATCGGTACCACCCTAGATTTTGACCGTTACTGAGGCGTATCAGTTGGTACGTCCTGGCGTGGTAGGTGGAGGTATTTTGAAGGTTTTAGGGTGTACTGTCGGTACGCCCTGGCATACTGACCATACATACTAGTACGTACCATACCGAGCAAAGCTTGGTATGCCGATACAGACCGGTATTCAGAACCCTGATTGTGACCTCATAATTATTTATATTCTTGTCAGGAAAATAGATGAGGCATTTCTAATTATGTTAGATACTATTTTCTCAATAAAAATGGTACGTAGAGACATGTGAAGGAATTTTAGAGTTGTATTTGGTGAAAGTGGAATGAATCAACAAACATTTATGGTCTTTAGGTATATCTTTAAAAGAACTAGAGTGAGAAAAAAAATAGTAGCTTTATTAGAAATAGACGGTGGAGTCACGGACAATAATGTAAAGCTTTCTGAAAATATTATGGAGAAGAATGAGTTGTGGAACTTAGAAGGGGATAACATTGGTACCATGTGGAGTTTGAGGGCTACAATGATTAGGAGTGTTGATAGAAAATGTGTATAGCTGTGATAAAAATGTTATGGTGGATGTATGGAGTTACTAAGAAAAATAGAACATGAATGTCTCTACTTGTGAACAATTAGGTACAGCCTTGATTGATATTGTCCTTAAATGAAATGAGTTGAGAGATTTTGCTTTTCACGGAACTCCATGACGGGAAAGTTTCATGTAGCTGATCCCAAAAAATTGAAACATCACGGCTTGTTGTTATTGTTGTTGTTATATGTTGGTTTTTCTCACGACTCATGAGTACTCGCCATATTTTGCACCATATACAAGAGAGAAGAAATTGTGTTACAGCCTGATGTAAAAGGTGTTTCTTAGATTCTGTTAACATTGTGTCGGTCGAGATTTGTAAAAGGATTATAAGATTCTTTTTCATTTGTTGAAAAGCTTGAAAACATGTAGGTTCTTCTCATGTGTAGTTGCAATATTTTGCATCATATAAAATTCTTATACAAGAGAGAGAAGAAACTGAGTTACAGCTAATGATGTAAAGGGTGTTTCTTAGGTGCTATTAACATTGTCTAGGTTGGGATTTGTAAATCAAAAAGGTGTGTACCAACTGAGAACTGATTAAGGATTATAATATTATTTTTTTAGAATCTAACATATTCTGGTGGTGTCAAGCCTATTCTCTTGTTTAAGATTTAGCCATAAAAGGATTCTTAGTTGTTGAGTTCAATACATTTTACCTTTAACTTCGGCTTCAAAAATGTCTTGCTTCTGTTTTACTCATTGGAACGTTGGAAACTGAGGTGATCTATTGAATTTGAGCTGACTAGTTCACTTCACAATGGTATCAGGCTGGTTATCAAGAAGCAGAATAACACGATCTGTGTTGTCTATTATTATGTTAAGGACTGTGTCATTCAAGTTTGAGTATTTGTGATGTTATATAATCCTGATCTGATTATATATCCAGATTATGAAGTCTTTTGGGTTGTTCAATTTTACTAGGATAATCATATCCAAGCCCCAAATTCCCCTGGTTGATGCATATGCCCATGTTGAAATTCATGGCAGAATGCACCTGATGGTAATTAGGTGACCATTGAACATGAAGGTTTGGGGGAAGAGGATGATAAGAGAACAGCAGAAGCCTGCTTCTGCTGCTGCTGTGGAGTCAGATACCACTTCTTCCCAACTCCATTGAGTCAACCTCTCCTAGGACAGGACTCGGGAAAGCCCGAGAGCCCCTATCTGCATTTTCTCACATGAACAGTGTTATGTGAATATCAAGATCTCTAATTTAGCAAGGAAACAAGATCAAGATATGGGGACATGTAGGAGAAGACTATCTAAAAACAAATGAAATTTACAGTACAGAATTATCAGATTGTGATTTGTTAAAGCAAAGTTTATAAGAAGCCTTAGAATAATAGAAAGATTCCTTTCTTATAATTGAACAATATGATATATATCAAACTCGTGGATGTGTCACAACGGTCTCTAGGTGTGGTTTAATACTGTCATATTAATTTGTACAGAAAAATATTATATTGCTTTTTCTATACAACGTGATAAAATAACTTTGAAATCATTGAAATTATTTTAGCTAGATATTCACAACTACAATGGAGTATTTATTAGTTGGACCAATGCTTTGTTCATAAAATTTTGCTCTGTATAATAACAATCTTGACAGTGCAAACACTTGAATGCAATGTTCATGGGCACCATAATATGATGCTGTTAAGTGTAGAGTATTCTGATGTGTCCAAGTTATCAGTCTTAATATTGCAAAAAAGGCCAATCAAAATAAAGTTCTTGGATACACAAGCTGGGCTGCTACTACTAGCTATTATTACCCATGCCACTTAATATTTAATTGGATTGGTAAGAAATATTCTCTGAATTGATAAATTTCAATAAGAACATGACAGAAGTGTATATTTACTTTTTTTTCAGATTAATAAAACTAACCCTGGAGGTCAGATATTGTCATAGAAATTAGAAAAGTCGTCATTTAAGTAACAGATTTATCCAATAATAGAATTCATGGTTAAACAAATAATTTGTTATTCGGTCAATTAATTTTGCTATGAAGTTTGGAGAAACATGCAGCTAGTAGAAACTCATGAATAATTAAAGATTTTTGAAGAGGGTATATGCTTTTACGAGGACTTGAAGTGGGGCATATGTGGAGAGTTGGATTATGAAAAGAAAGCACCAAGTATGAGAATGTGGACACAATAATCGATTAAAAAATTAAAAGAAAAAAGGAAAAATAAAAGCTTTAGAGGTGGGGCATAAATTACTTTGGCCATTGTGTAGGAAACAAAGTGCAATTAGCTTACGGCATTCATATATGCAACTTCTGTTATTATAGTTCTATTTTCTTGTTAAGCATACTAATCTTGTTTTGTATCTGTTATTATTGAAAGATTTGTGAAGAAGAAATTTGAGGAACTATACTTTCAAAACAGCAAACCAGACTGTGTTGACCGGGCCTTCAAGATTTACAGGACAACTGCCTTGGATCAGAAACTTGTAAAGAAAACTTTCAAGCTTGTTGATGAGACCTTGAGGAGGAGGAATCTCATCGAGGCTGGTTTGTTGTGAAGAGAGAATCTTTGTAGTCCCACTTGTGTTGGATCTCATCTTATATTGGATGAGCTCCAAGTAAATCTTCGAACATTTTATGATTTTTTGTAGTCCACTTTAGGTCGAAGTGGGTCAAAGAAAGAAACATTTTGTTCCCATCTGCTTGTGTTGGGTTGATGATCCTTGACAGGTTCAAGGTCTGGTAGGGCCCACAAGTTTCTTTTATCGTAGTAAAGGTCGAAGTAAATGAGGGTCGGTTGTGGATCCTTTGCTGTTGTAATCTCGCTGAATATTTTTGTATGCTTTGATGTCACCAAAAGTATGCATTTTTACGATTAATCTTTCATAAGGTTGGATAACTGAAGTGTTGATTTGCTAAGTGGATGGAAGTCCTTTAGGATCACAAAGTCCTTGGACTCGATTATTTTGCTGTAAGAAGTCTGCATGTGTATGGTACCGTTTGCATACCTATTCTACAAATTGATTGGGAAATATGCTTCCTAAGTCACATGGTGTGTAGTAGTAATTGATTAGTAATGGCAAGGCATTGCGATAACTTGGAGTAATGGCAAGGCATGGCAAGCATCCAATTGAAGACTATGAACATGAGAGGATAAGAGATGTTTTTATAGTGTTGGTCAAACTTGTGCTCAAATAGTGGTTGGAAAGCATATTTGGTGGACTAACCCCTGCCTTCAAAGTGTTTTGGTAGGGTTCTATTGCCGACATTACTTAAAGGATACAATAGAGGTTCCCTTTGAGCTTGATCGATAATGAATGGTCTTTCGCCCATTAGGGTATAAACTTCCTCAAATCCTTTTCGTTAGCTTCGGGCCAACGAAGGATTCTTATTGTGAGAGTGGATTATTTCATGAAATGGGTGGAAGCTGAGTCGTTAGTGTCAATCATCGAAAAGTAGGTTGAGGGATTTGTATGGAAGAATATCGTTACCCGCTTCGAAATGCCGAGAGCTTTCATCACTGACAACGAGATTCAATTCAACAATATGAGGTTCAAGTAGTTCCAACAATCTTATGAGATTCAACTAAGGTTCAGCTCGATGGCCCATTCTAAGGGTTAGAGAAGCGGATCGTTAGAGCAAAGGGTACTTGGGTGGACAAGCTGACAAACATCTTGTAGGCCTCCCAAACGACACCTAAGACCGGGTCGGGAGAATCGCCATTCAGCTTAGCCTTCTGCACCGAGGCTATCCTACCACCCGAGATAGTCTTCCCAACAACTCGGGTCAAGAGCTTTGATAAGGAAACCTCTGAAGGAGGACTTCGAGCCGAATTTGACATGATCAGTGAGGTCAAAGTGAAAGCACACCTAAGGGTGCTGAAATATAAAAAAACAATGGCCAAGTTATATGATCGAGGTGTTCACCCTCGGGGAGTTAAGACTAGGGGACTTGTTGCTCCGTAAAGCTAAGGTCAACGACCCCACCAGGTCTCGAGGGAATTTGACGTCGAACTGTGAAGGATTGTATCTAATCATTGAGGTTGTCTAAGACGAAACATACTATCTCGAGATAATAGAACGAGTGGTGTTGTCGAGGACGTGACACATTATAAATAAAAAGAAGTTTTACTTCTAAGACATCCCTCGGGATCAGATCAGGGAGACTATGCCCCAAGCATCAGACATTGGTCTACCATGCCCATGGCATCAGTTGTAAAGTGTATCTTTAAGATACCAGTATTACGAATTGAAAAAAAAAGACTTCATTACTTTAAAAGGAATTACATCAACTCGGTCGGACATCTACATCCAAAATGAGACCCTAAACTCTCAAAATAAAAAACTAATAGGGTGGACATGCCCGATGCAAGGAGTGAGTTGGGTAGACTGACTCGACAACTCAAAAAGGCCAGCATAAAGGAAAATGACAACTTAGGCATCGAGATAAGGCGAAAAGTCCAGATTGTCATTAAAAGGTCCCTCGGGCACCATCGGGACATTTTGATCCTTGGGGTAATTAGTGAATGGATCTTCCACAAGCTCTAGTTTAGGGTACCTCACCTTGAAACGAGCTAAGGTAATTTGGTATCCAAATTAGTATGAGACGACCCTCGACCTCTCTAAACCCCTCATAAACCTAACGAATGCCTTATAATCGACAATCGCCTCCTCCCGATACTTTGGTACCATGTGTTGCTCGACCTCTAACACTTCCTTTATACCTTGAACCACTCGGTGGTACTCATGACCCACTCATCGATCACTATGACCTGATTGTTGGCTGCCACGACCTGCTTGACGAGCTCCAAGTTGCTCATCCTCATCGAATCCAACTCCCGGGTGAGTTTCAACAACTCATCCTCTATGTCACGGTTATTACCTTGGACTATCTTCAATTGCTCAATGAAGTTGACAAGGCATTGCTTGGCCTCCTCTAGTTGTCTCATTAGCTTGCCCCCCCGAGCCTCTGCCTCAGCAACAACTAAAGGGGCTCTTCCCTCCTTTAACCCGTTAATCTCTTTCCGAAGATTATCACTTATAAGGGATTAATGGTGAATGACCGAGTCAACATCCCATACACAGTCAATAAGGGTCGTTATATAGTGGTAGTGCTGCAAATTAAAGACAAGTAGATGAGCAACATAATACTCAAGGGGATAGCTACGACCTAACTTACTAGCACTTTGTTGCGGTAGCAGGTGGTGATCAAAACCTCCGAAAGAGAACAATAGATCTACTTCGCCACCGTTGAACACAAGGACTTACAACAATACTGCTCTAAAGCCTCACCATTGCCTCACACTTTCTACCCCTCCCACAAACCCTCCCATCTCAGTTGCAATAGTGCATTCAGGCTTGGGTGTGGTAGGTTGGCTATTTGTAAAGTCATGAAGGGCCAGGGCTTGTCCTCGCACAGGTCGAACATCAACCTCTGCCTTTTTCCTCTTTTTTCTAAAGAAGACCTGGAACTTTGGGGACCCTCTAAAGGCGCTGACATTGCGGAGGTAGGAGGTACTTCATTTGGTTCTCTCTTTAGAATTGACTCCTCGGTTTCCTCATCCCTTTGGGGGTAGTGCACCTTCCTCACAATAATCTTCTACTTCTTCTTCGACTTGTTGGTGTTGGTAAAATGGCCATGCTGAGTTAGGTTAGACACCTCGAGCGATGACTTATGAACAATGGCCAGAGCCGAAGAGGCCATCGTCAATACCCAAAGAGGAGCTAGGCCTCTTTCTCTTTAAAGAGGGTAGATTCATACTTGTAGAGGATCAAAACCACAATGCTACAAAGGATCAAATAGAGAAGTAAGGTGAAGTGGCGAGGTGTTTGGGTTATACCCCGAGCAGCCAGGTTGAGACATGCATCGATCAACCACTCATCGTCCATCTTTTGGATGACATGAGAGGAAGGAAGTATATCCCCTATTGACTCACCTTCTCATCCAATAAGAGAGAAGGGGTGTTATCTATGTAGTGTGCCGACAAGGTGAAAGTGAACCCCCCAATCCCAACCTAAACCTATGAGAAAGAAGCTCTCCTTCCAACTCTTGTGGTTAGAAAGGTCACTACTAACTTTGAATCCCCCATAAATAGCCAGGTAGTAGCCACTTTTCCCCTTGCATAGTCGAAAACAAGCAATGAAAAGTTTATGGGTCAAGGTAATATCAGCATACCAGCATTCTCCGATGAACACTATCATATAGCACCATGAGTTAGGCATCATCTAAAAGGGTGATATCTTCCACCATTAGAGGTAAGACATTATCACCTAGTGGAGGGAAAGATAAAGTCCCACCTTGAGGGTGTCGCACGACAGGCAAAAGAACCCGAGCATAGGGTTGAATGGATGTTGATCAGGTTGGGGGACATGCAAATCAAACTCGATTGAGATGGAGCACCTAGTTCACAAGTGATCAAGGAGTGACGCAGTTACCACTGAATCATAATCATGCGAGCTTTTCATAGACTCTAAGCCCCAAAGAATCTTTGGGTTCATGGGAACTACCTCCCATGATGAGGGGGAGGTAAAGACCTCCTCCGCCCTTAGGTTGTCCAAAGGTAGAAAGCTAATCCCGACCTTCTAGTGGCTAGGAGTCGAGATGAACTTGTGTGATAAAGGAGAGACATCTCGACCTGAGGAGGCAGAAGGGTAGGATGGTGAAAGACTATCTTACTACAAAATCGATATCGGGGCTATGAGGAACTCGGATCGACTTGTCCTATAGGGAACCAAAATTAAGTGGAGAAAGCTTTTAAGGAGGCCTTGGAGGCGAAGCATAAGGCTTTTGAGAAGGCCCTAAAGGCTTAAATAGAAGAATAAGCATCACCCCACATGGTAACGAGGGATTATAGGGAGGGAGTCAATCTCTCTCCTCTCACAACTGAGACAAGTTTTCCTTTGGGACAATTCCAAAGGGTGATGGATGAAAGACTTAGCAACATTGATTGAAGGACTCGAAAAGCACCAAAAGTCACCATGACGGAAGTGTTAGGACCGTAAAGGCACTTGGGGGGGAGGGGGGTTGAATTAGTACTTTTAAAAAATTATGATTTGAAAACCCATTCAATCAAACCCATATCAGAAATATGTTTAACTTACAATGTGCAAAAGAGTAGTGAGCAAGTAAATCAATTTGTAATAGGAATGAAAAGTACAAAGGAAATGTAAACAAATTTATAGTGGTTCGGTAATCCCAACATATGTACACTCCCAATTTCTTTTCTCTCGAGGCCATTGGCTTTCACTACCGATCTTCTTTTCAATAGGTGAAGATTAACTATCTTTGTTACAATCATTTCTCCTTTTCACGGAGAGAACATTTACACCTCACTCCTTTCTTAGAAGACTTCTAACTCTACGAGGAAGAGATTACTCTTCCTTAGAACACTTTTATTCTCAATAATTCTTTCCCCTTTCTACTCTTTTTCTTACTTATCTCAAGCAAAAATGAGTGGGGCATTTATAGGCCCCAAATAAGGATTTTCAAGGTACTGGTGGTATCATCGCCTGCCACTTTGTGCACTGGCAATACCACCACCCAGTTTGGGTGGTACCATCGCTTGACACTAGGCGGTACCACCGTCGGGTTTTCTACAAAAGTACATTTCATACTTTCCAGCTCACAAGCGGTTCCACCGCTTGGCCCAACTTCAAGTCACCGATCGGGCCTTCCAATAGGCCCAAATCAACCTTAATTTAGGCCCAATGGGCTCCTAATCAAGTTGGCATAGTTATACCCAAAACTAACTCAATTAAGACCTAAACTACTTCGATCAAAACACAAACGATTACAAACATGAATCCTATGTTATTCAGCATGTCATTGGTTCATCTGATACTTCGTCCGAACCTTCGATGCATCGTCCTGTCCTTTAGTGTATTGCTCGATCCATCGGCATATTGCCCTGTTGCAACATCCGATCTTCTTGACGTAATATCCAATCCTCCTAGCTCGATGCCCGAACTCATGACACAAAGTCTATCTTTCGGCACGTCAACCAATTCTCCAACTCGACGTCTAATCTTCTGACATGATGCTCTCCGACCTAACGTCTGATTCTCCTATTTCAATCAATTTGTCTTTCCATGATTGAAGTGTTAGTTATAGATGCCCTGTAAGCCAATTGATCGATTGCTCGTAATGTCAAGGCAATCGACATCTCCCAAGGCCACCTGCGTCTGGGGTGACACTGTTACATAAACCACGATATACGTATATGCATGTTGTGTGCACTGAGCTTTACATAGATGTATGTATGATGTATGTATCATGTACGTAGTGTTTGGGGGTAATAAAAGGGCAGCTCGGTCTGAGAAACTGTTGTCTACTTCGTATATATGTTGCAGTTATCTACACCTCACTCTAAAGTCAAAAACTTTTTCTTGACCTGAACAAAGTTTCAACTATAATTTGCACTGCACCATATCCTACAAAACTGAAGCCAATTTAGATGCTGGGAAATTTCCTCAAACATCTGGACGTTGAAGCTCTTTGCAGCAATTTTATTCACTTAACAATACTGAGCAGCAACTTATTTCAATGAATAAATACTAAAAAAATGATAAAAAAGTTGTAAAAGGCACAAGGTGCAATTAAGATAGGATCCAGGGATGATGAGGTATTCAACCCTGAATATATTGGCTATTGGTAACCGATGAGTTCTCAGAAAGGAAGCACTCAAGCTTCATAAGCGCCTGCAGAACAGAACGAAGAGATTTTAGACATGTTTTAGTTTTAAGTAAGATTCTTTAAGGAATCTTTGAAGGTTTTGAAACTTGAGACACGAATAAAATACTGTAAACAGGAGAGTTACGTGCCTCGAGGGCTATATCAGTTGGTGTAAGGACAGAAACGTCTCCATGACCCTGTTTAGCTGCAATATCTGCATGAACAATGAAGATTTTGGAGTTACTCAATTTAATCCAAGCAATGTTAAGGCAAAAAATAATTGATCGATCCATAGGGGGAAGTCTTGTTGGAGCTCAAATGTTTGCTAATATACCGTAAGCACACATTAATTAACACAAGCATACCATCAAGGCATACTCTTGCATCAGCATTGGCATATGCCTTCCCCCTTTGCTCTGAGAGTGTAGTAAGCTTTGCAAAAGCCTGAACAACAGCCACATTTAAGCCATGATCAATAATAACATACATGCAGCATATAAAAATTTCCTGATATACACCTATAGCTTTAAGTTAGTTCGTTAGACCCAAGGATTGAAATATCGTACCGTACTAGAGTTTCGAGATTCGCTCGGTACGGTACGGTACTATATACCGAGCGATATACCGTTCGGTATATTGCTCGGTATATATATATATATATATATATATATATATATATATATATATATATATATATATATACCGTCCGATAGTAGGCGATCCGTGTATC